GAGGCGTTAGATTATAGGTTTGAGTCTCCATTGGTGTTTGGGGGCTACTGGATATTGGGGAACACAAGGAAAGGCTGAAGGATCTAAGGCGAATTAGTATAAGGGTAGTGTGGGTAGCACGAGTGGGGCTAGAGGTGTTTTAAACTATGGGATTGACAAGGGAGGGACGAAGAGGAGGAAAAGGACTGGTGACACGTGGTGGCTGAGTTTGAAGGACGAGTGTTGTGGGAAGAGAGAAAGTGAAAGAGAAGTTGAGCTTTTGGAGGAGATCCCTACCAAGAAGGGGTGTGGGGAAAGTTGGGATGCCAAGGAAATTATGGGTGAAGAAAAGGGTCTGGAATCAGCAGGGGATGGGTCCCGTCTGGAGGGGTTGTATAGGTTGGCCATCAACTCCCACATCGGAGATCATAGTTTGGGTGCCATGACCCAAAAACTCAGGTAGAACACTATATGTGGCCTTGTGTCAGCAAGAAAAGAGAGTGTTTTACCTGAGATGTCCAATGAGACCCCTGGCTCCAAGAAAGATACCTTGGTGGGGGCTGTGGATCCCAAGCCCCATCTATCCTCTTCAGTGGCAAGACTGAGCAGGTTGGCTAATGATGAGTCCAGCGGCAGCAGTGATGAAATTTCCTGTGAAGGTAGGGAGTTAGATGACTTACCCGCTTGCTGGCAGACAGGGCAGTCGAGCTTCCAGTGACCTTCAAGACTGCAGATGGGACAAGGTCCTGGTGGTGGCCTCTGGTTGGGGCAGGCTCATGTGCAGTGTCCTTCCTTGCCACACGTAAGGCATGATGGCATGGAGCTCGGGCGGCAACACTTTGTTTTGACTTAGCTTTTTCACTCTGAGTGCTGTGGCTAAGAGTTGGCATTTAAGCTTGGCATGTTTGTTGTTGTGTTCTTTTTGTTGTTCCTCTCTATTATTGAAGACATGGGGTCTGCATTTTGTATAGTAGCAGCCCCAGTGGGATGGTCAGAGTTAGTCTGATGTCTATGGTCAGCCTCGGCTTGGGCTGCTCTTTACAGCTGAGTTTTTGTTGAGGGGAGACAGTGGATGAAAGGACGATATAGAGATCCTTGTAATATAAATCATATGAAGTAATCACAAATTATATTTTATATAATTATGGGGATCTGCAGGGAAGGATCCCAGTCTATGAAAGATTTGAGATAAGTTAGAAAGTGAAAGGAATGTGAAGGTAAACAATTCCCTCAGGACCAGCCACCTTGTGGAGAGGAAGGAGGGGCTGGGTTTGAGGAAGTGGCAGCTGACTAGAAGATGGTGGCTGACTAGAAAATGGTGGGAGTTGGGAGGAGTGAGATCAGGTGTGTTGTGCCTGAGGAGAAAATTGTGACAGAGGGGCTGGGGAGTAGGAAGTAGTGGAGGGTAGATGACAGGGAGACAGGATGGGAGTGACTAGTTGAGGAGGTAGAGATGGTTTTTGTGGATATGGTGGAGGGGGAGCAAAAGCAGAAGGGATGTCATCAAAGGGGTCCAGAGGGGCATCAGGTGAGAGATTAGATGACAGGGATTTGGTGATGGGGAGAGGGCCAAGAGTATTGGGCTACCCCACATGCCTGAATGAGGGAGGGACACACCCTAAGAACAAAAAGGCATATACATAAGGGATTTCTGACCATTTGCTGTTATGGTAGCAAAAGTTGTCTAAGTCACAGAGGACATTGAAATTGGAAGTTTCCTTCTCAGGCCAGTGGCTGCTATTTTTGAGTTTTTATTGAGGCCAGCTCTTCTGGATTAACAGTCTCTCAGAGACCTAGGGTATTTAAGCAACACCAAGTAGAGTGTGTTTTTGGGGTTGGGAAGGAATGTTTCCCATAGTGAATAAATTGAAAGTGAGCCAAAGAAGCCAGTCACAACCCCTAGGGAGATGGTCACTTTCATTGGGATGTGATAGAGAGAGAAATGCCCATCAGCCCCCATTGGTTGTCACCTAGGAAACAGAGGGGTGTCCCAAAGGATGTGAGGGAGTCCTGACATGGGCTCACGATTTTCAGAGAGGAAGTGGCAGGAGCTCCTGGAGTGCAGATCGGCTCACCTGTGAGAGGGAAAGTGGACCAATGTTGGATGGAGGCTGGCGACGGCAAAGGCAGAGATCAGAGGAGAGTTTGGCACCAGGTAGAGAGGAAAAGAAGGGGGCTTATTGGCAGGGGGAGCTCAAACAAAGGGGGTGGCCCTTGGGAGTTACATGTCCCAACTGATCTGAGTCACAGCACCAAAAATGTATGGCTTTTGGTGCTGTGAAGAGACACTGGCAGAGGTGAAGAAGTCTTTATTGCTGGCATGGGAGGGCTGCTGGAGATTGCAAGGAGCCTCAGAGGAGGAAGCTGGGGAATGAGTTTTATTGGGCTGGACTAGGGGTGGAATTTACATGGGCCAGCAAAGCATCCTGCTAGGAGAGGATTGGAGCGTTGTTGTCGTGCACACATGTAAAGGAAGCAGGAGGTTTATTTCATAACTAGAAGAGGAACATGAAAGTTAGTCTTGGAGGGACACGTTGTTGTTTTGGGTCCCAATGTCGTGTTGGATCACCACCATGATGACCTTGGCAGAGTTCCATATGGGCAGAAACCCATCAGTTTCAACATCCAGCAGTCAGATTTCTTTCTCAAAAATCTTAAACTGATTGATATTATCATAATCTTGACTGTAAATAATGAGTAATAAAGCTCAATGAAAAATGAATAATAAATAATAATGACTAATAAAGCTAAATAATGTTGTAGTATCTGCTTAGACAACAACAACAATCTTTCAGTTCTAAACTTAATCAAAGTTAACTGAATCAAAGTAGAGTGATCCCTCACCTATCGTGGGAGTTATGTTCCGGAGACCCCCACGATAGGTGAAAATCAGTGAAGTAGCAGCATTATATTTATTTTATTATTTATATATATTTTAAGGCTTTATAAACCCTTCCCACACTCCTATAAATCTTTCCCACTCTCTTATTAACCTTTCCCACACTCTTATAAACATTTTGTATGCTCTTAAATACTGTCTACACTCTTAAACCTACGTAATTTTAGCAACATGTAAAATTCTATATGGGTGCTCACCAATGAAATACACTACAACTTGAATGATGAAAATCATGAATTATGTAGCTGTGCAGTACTGATGGCTATGTGAAGTGGACAAGAAGTGATGCTGAAGGTATGGGCACAGTGCAGGAGAGCAAACAGACCGATGCTATAGTCACTGAGCCAATCAGCCCCCAGGATACAGAACACAGTGCTGTGGTTGGTCACCTTCCATTCCATCAGCCAATAGTGTGCCATGTACAATCTCACATTGGCATACTTTTGCAAGTGGTAGTGGCATACTGCATTTCCATTGTGTACAATATGGTATTCCTATGCTGATGAACTACATACTGTACTTTATTTCAATTTAATATTCTTTTAACATGTTAGAATTAACATTTTTTATATTTTTATGTTGTTTTAAAGTTTTAGGCAAAATAATTACAATCATAAATATTATATAAATACCTATATACCACAAACTCTCACAATATAGCAAAAACTCCACAATACAGAATTAGATATACATTTTTTAAAAATCTGTGATGCAGTTAAGTCACAAGAAGTGAACTGTGATATAGCAAGGGATGATTGTATTGTAGAATGGTCTGCAAGAATAGGGGAGGAGCTTGTTGCTAAACTATAAACTTCAATCCTTTTGTCCATTTTTGCATCTTTTAAAGATGTCAGTGTCCCACAGAGGAACTAAATTATGTCCTTTAGTTCATTTATCTTGATTTTTTTACTTGTCATGTATTTTAAATGATTTTTCTACATTTAATAGAAAGGAGTCTGCCTTAGTTTTCTTGTACCTACTAGAGCATCTTAGCATGGAGGCATATGTTTAATTGATAACAAATTATACAGAAGGCTTGTAAAAGAATTTAAATTTCACAGATAATCTAATCCTTCCCAACTTTGACAAGAAAAAAATGTTGAAGCAAATATATTTCCTTAGTAGTTAAATGTTGCTGAGTAACTAACTGCCGTTTCTGAAGATCAGACTGCTACACAGGCTCTTTCTATGATAGGAAACATCAAGTGAGTGCTTTGTAAGGAAACATATAGTTTCTAGTTGGACAAACTCTATAGAAAGTGAAACGAACCAGAGGAAGGATGTGAGTGCCAGGTTCATCCTGTATTATATATAATATTGTTACACATAATAAGAACCTCTTAATGTGTTCTGTGGTTTTGCTAAGTATTACCACAGAATGGCAATACACATAAAGCCTTTCAGTAACTCACCTAGTCCCTAAATAAATTAACATATGACAATGCTTAGGGTGTAGAAAGCACTCAACAAATGCTAGCTGTTCTTGGGTTTTAATGTGATTTCATTCTTTAGAGCTACACTGACCAATATGGTAACCTCAAGCCACAGTTGGCTGTTGGGTAATTGAAATGTTACCTAACACACTCTGGTTTCTCTTCAGATTGAATAAATCTTTTGCCTTTTGAAATGTTACTTGTCCATATTGAGATATGATCTAAATATAAAATCTGCACTGAATTACTAAGACTTAGTAGGGGAAAAATAATCAGAATAACGCGTTTATAAATTTTACGCTGACTGCATGCTAGCTTGGATATATTGAATTAAATAAAATATATTATTAAACCTGATTTACCTGTTGCTTTTTGTTTTATTAATGTGGTTAGTTCTATAAAATTTAAAATTACATAGTGGCTGACATTTGTGGTTTGCTTCATATTTCTCTTGAACAGAACTTCATTCATGAGACCTCCCAGGATGTGTGGTATTAGCTATATTATAGGTATTCATGAAGGATCCTGATCAGCTGAGAGGAAAGGAAGCGGAATGAATTATAACTGAATGAATATGAATTTGCGTATGTTTTAAGTGAATTGGGGTCATTTTATCTTTAAGAAAATACCTGTAAGATGTTAACTATATTTATACATACTGTGTCTAATTTAAAAAACCCTGTTTCTAGGATATTGGTTGGTTCACCTTGGAGTGGCTTTCCAGAAAACAGAATGGGAGATGTATACAAATGCCCTGTTGACCTGTCCACTGCTACGTGTGAAAAATTGAATTTGCAAAGTAAGTTCTAATTACCAGTATGATTTCTAGCAAATAGTAAAATTTCATTTGTCATGTGTTCCACTGAAAAATAACTGTAGAAACAGTCATCATTCTATCTTGAAGAAATGTAAAAGTTTTTTTTTTTTATGTATTTTTGCCTTTATCTTCTAAATCATATGGGGTCTGACTAAATCCAAATTTCCGAAACAGTTGGAAGACCTGACTTAACAGGATGCATAGGAGATGTGGTACTTTCTGAAGCAATCTACGCCCAACTATGGACAGAGTTCTGTCAGTGTTAGGATTACTTTGCCAATCATTTGCAGAAATCTGAGACTATTTATATTTCTCTCCCAGCTCTTTCCAAAACAAAACATTAGGTACAGAAACATCAGCTCTAGGGCTGAGTTTGGAGGTGCCAAAAGCACTCTGTATTTCAGATTATGTTGAAATGATTGCATTCTAATAAAAAAAAGCTCTCAATCTGGAATTATTTGCTATTGAATTATCTACACCTCAGGTGCTTTCTATTATAATGCAAAAAATTATTGAAAATAACTGAATAGATAGTTAAATAATGGTACCTCCATACACTGTTTTCTTGTGTAAATAAATAAGAAGTCACTCAATTTGATCATCATCATAGAAGCATTGGAATTAAAAAAAGGTGCTGAGATGTCATAGAGTTTTTCTAAAGAACTGAAGCACCAAATGTGAAATCAAAGGAAAGAAGAGTTTCAAAAATAATATTAAGAACTGGAGCTAGAGATGTTGCTTTGTAACAGCACTTGTCTAGCACGCGTGAGGGTTTGAGTTCCAGAGCAAAAAAAAAAAAAAAAATTGAAACAAGGGAAGAGGTGTTTCTTACATATTTCTGTGTATCTCATTTCTAGCACAATTTCTGGCACATAGTAGGGCTCAGTGAACATATTTTCAGAGAGTTGGAAGGAACTCTTACTTTGCTGCAGCTGGAACTGGCCCGCGTGGAGACAAGGGATATCACGCACTGCTGTGCCCAACTCAGGGCCTCAGGAGCCAGTCTTTAAAATAAACAAAAAGTAAGCAAGGCCACATGTGGAATTCTCCCAGCCTCTGGGCGTCGAGCAAGGAGGAGCCCTGGCCTCTTTCTTTCACCCCTTTTACCACAGTAACTCCCTATCTACCTGTTCCACAGTCCCACTTCCACGTGGCTTCAGATACTACAGAAATTGAGTTACGAGGGTTAAGTAAAGTCCTGCAGCATATTTAAGGAGGTTGCAAGTAATTGGAGATTAGTGATTTCCAAGCATTGTACACACTCATTGTATCTGTATAATGATAATCTTTAGTTACTTATGAATTAAATTATTTCATAATTTTAATAATAAAAATGTTTATTAAAAGTGAGTGTTCAAAAGTTTTAGTACTATTATCCAGAAGCTTTGTAATACATCTCTAAAATATCACCCTTAACTTTTGAACACTCACCCCTAATGCATATATCTGTTTTATTGTTTAAAGGTATGCACATGGACTGACATTATATTCTAAATCATTCACTTACTTAAAAATAAACTCAAAACATTAAAAACATAAGAGAGGCTTCTCTATTATTTTCTTCCTGCATGCTGCAAATCATATTTTGTGTGACTTATCCATCTAGGTTGTAAATCCAGGAGTGGTGCAGGGAGCAAATACGCAAAGCATTTACGGAGGGGTGGGTAGCGAGGAAGTACAAGGAGTGACCGCTGACCTCTGTTCTGAGAAACTGAATAATGAGGGAGAGCTGGGAAAAGCAGTTGTATAGACAGCCGGATTAAGAGAAGATTCTTCCGGCAAAAGGGAGAAAATCTATTTGTAGGAGAGTGTCTTGAGGTGGGAAAAGTTAGTGACTATTAGTTAAGGATAAAGTTCATGATGGAATTAATGTCACCAGGGCCTGGAAAAATGACTTAGAAAGAATATTTCCATCTCTAAAACACAGAGGAAGTAGAGAAAAAGTAGAATTTCTCTAAGAATGAGCCTCACATGATGAGAGAGCCTGCACACACCTTGAGAGTGAGATTTGTCTTCACTGTAGTAGACACGTTATTCACAGAGAGTGACAGGCCCTGGGTTGAGGTTGGAGGTTTCAGAAGAAGCACGAAGTTTTCTAACAGACAGCCTGGGAAATGGGGAAGGGACCCAACTAAGGATAAACGGAGGTAGCAATGATGGTTTGGCTGAGATGAGAGACCATGAATAGGAGATACTATTGAGGAGAACTGTAACATTTGATAGCTCAAGAACGGGTAGTGACTGCTGTTTTAGTTCAGCAGGAGAGATCTAAAAGGTTGGAGAATGTCATTTTTTTATTTTACCTGATTAGTCTCATGTTTTCCTTAGAAAATGTACCCACTGTTGCTTTGCTTTGAGCAAAATTTTATCAACTGACATTCTTTGATAACTTTTAAAGTATGTTTTTTAATAATCAAGGAGAAAAAGCATTAGATGGATCCATCACAACTTCGGAAGGAGCAGATATGACAGGCAGGAACAAAAGATGTCCTCCAATGTTTTGCTTAGTCAAAACACTGTTTGTAAAATAATCAGATGTAAATACCCTCTCCAGAGCCCAGCCCCTAGTACGTTCCACTCCTCATCCTCACAGACTAAAGGGAGCTGTCAGGTGATGGAATGCATCTGACGTCCCCTCACTTCATTAGTATAACTCGGGCTCCTGGATATCTGACATTATATTCAGTGCTACTTTAAACATTGGGCATGCCTGTTTGGATTTTTTTTAGAAAAACTTTAAGTAAATGTAATTGAATCTCTTTTAAAAATGCATTTCGCTCTGACAGCTTCAACCAGCATCCAGAATGTGACTGAGGTGAAAACGAACATGAGCCTCGGCTTGACCCTCACAAGGAACATGGGGACCGGAGGGTTTCTGGTAAGTGTTTGCTTCTCAGATCCTCGTCACCCTTGAGAAAGCTTGTAGTCAGTGTCTTCTCTCCATCCCTTCCATCCATTCATATTTTGAGGTTTAAACACTGGAGTGCATTTCTGGGTACATGGTGCCATTTGAATATCCAGTGCAGAATGATTGTCTGTTCACGCGTAGAATTGTGAGATATTCAACAAAATCATCATCACAAAATGTTTTCAGGTAAAAAAATAAAATAAAATAAATAAAATAAATAAAATAAAATAAAGATCAAAAAGAACACTGATACTTTGCCCTTGGAAGTCATACTTAGTATTTGCTGATAAGATCAAAATCCAAGTTGTCATTTCTGCTTCTTGAAAGAGCATTCAAGTTCAGTAGTGTAAACTCAGAAATTAGGTTTCAAAAGTAAAGGGTATATTTGTTTTTAATCACTTGCTGTAATGGTTGGCTCATTTGATATTTATTTAAGGCATGGTACAGCCTTGTGTCACTTTTTACTCTCATTTACTTTCTAAATTGCTATGGAACAGCCTCACAAGTCAGTAAATTGGAATGCCTTAATTAACAAGAGATCTGAGGATGATTAATTAGTCACATAACCAAAAAACCTTCAAGTGAAATAAAGAGTTAATATAAAAAGCTAGAAGAAATTGGAATTTTTTTCTGAAGGAGAGAAAAACTTTTGAGTTTAGAACTAGTAGAAGAAATAATATAGGGAAATGTTGGAAAGATTTGACTATATAAAAAATGAAAAATATCACACCAAAAAAATGTTGAAAGGCACATAAAAGCTCAGTCTTATTTGAAATTTCCACTGACTCACTTAGAGATAGCCTACTTGTATAACTCTGTTAAAATTGTCTCAAGAAGCCTAATTTAACTTTACATTGATTTTATCAATGCTATTAACATTCTAATTTAAAAGTCTGTTTTAAAACTGGATAATTCTAAAAATTTTAATGTCATTCTATTTGAAGTAATAGATAGTAATATTCAGGCAACTGTAGTACTATTAAGTAAATTAAATATTGGTTATAATAGGTATTACATCAGTGCATAAATGCATATTAAAATGGAACTTCATAATTTATGATATTCCAAAATCTTTATAATAGGGTTCTTTTCATGCTTTTATTTGTTTTTAAGATTGAATAAACCATGAAGAGGAATACACTGAGAACTAAGGATTACAGAATGTGCTTCAGAAATTATAGTATGTGACTCTAGATGAAGTAAAATAAAACTGCAAGAGAATTTGAGAGGTTAATTTAACAGTCAGTGTAGCAAGCAGAAAGGCAGAGAGGGTGAGAGAAAGAAGGAAAGAAAGGCAAAATGTTCTTTACATATCTAAAAGGTCAAAATCTGAAGATAGTTTTAAAAATTATGTGGAAAAGATGGACAATCATCACATTTTTTGAACCGTCTTAAATTCTGGGCTTAAAGCAAGAATGTTTTGGCGTTGACAATTGGCATATTCTAATTTCAACTTCTTAATGCTGTTTTCCATTGCTTATAAAAGAAGTCTATTCTTGAATACTTCATGAGTTGTTTTTCAAAGCGATATTAAAAGACACAGTAATGCAGATACAGAAATCAGTAATTGGGATCTGTTATTTGGAAAACTAGCTAGAAGCACCTATAATGTGTCTTTCCTAACTGTTTTCCTAATGGGAGGAAAGCTATGCCGTGTTCATAGAGCATGAAATATGAGCACAGCTGCTTCTAACTATTGATCTACTAACAGTTAAATTGGGTCAAATAAATTCCCTCTTCTTTTTCCACTCACTTCTTATAAGCTCATACTTTCCTGTCCCATTTTAATAATTGGTTTTAAGATCAATGGTTTGCATAATGTTGCGCATATGGTCCACAGGTTTAGATAATGTAAAATTCTGTAGACAATTTTTAGACCTTTCTTTCCCACTTCTCTCCTTTTTTAAAAAAATGTAGTGTTTGCAATATCATTTAATTTAATATTTCCCATATGCTGTAATCATGATTGAATTGGAAGTTCTTGGCATTTAGCCAAGAGCGACTGAAAAGGAGAGAATTGGACTTATTAGTGTAAGAACTGGAGTGTGGATGATGTGGACAAGGAGATGAACGCTGGCCAGTTTCGATGGTGAGTAAATTAGGAAGTGAAAGTAAGGGGTTTTGACGTCAAACATTTTACAGCAAAGTTAAAAACTGGCAGTGCTTGAGCCTCATTTGTGTTTAAGTAGCTTATAGATTTTTTTCTTTTGGACACAAGGTCTTGCTATGTAGTTCGGGCTGTCCTTGAGCTTGCTATGTAGCCCAGGCTGATTTTGAACTCACAGTGATCCTCCTGCCTCAGCCTCCCAAGTGCTAGGATTATAGTTGTGTGCTACCACACCCAGCTAAAGTGTTTTGAAATGCAGATTTCCATACAAAATTTTCCTTCTATGACTCTCTAAGAGAAACTTGGGCATCGGTTTCACGGTGGTGGTAGGAGGGATACAGTGGCTTATCCCTGTACCAAAGAAACTGGCTCTTCATTCACTGTGCTGTCTATGCAGGCCCCAGACACTCTTGGAGGGCCCTTGTCTGGCCCTTGTAGGCACTTGGGTTTACAATTTCTTCTGAATATGATGAGGGGTGGTCAAGAAGAAACTGGTGTTAACACAAAAACAGTGAGGCTGGCTAATAAATACTTAGCCCTTGCTCTTTCCCGGATACTGTTCTCAGGGCTTTGTATCTGTGGACAATTTACTCTATGTAGGAGACAGATAGGACTGTCCTCATTTTATACGGGAGGCTCTCAAGGCCTAAGTAACAGACAGAAACATCAACTTTGCCCTCCGTGTCCTCCTGGTGTCCTCTGCAGGAAAACAACCCTAATCTAGCTTGGTGAGTGAATCCATGGGCTCCTTGCTCCTATGACCTCATCCCTGATGGTGCTGTTGTCTCTGCGCCTGCTGCAAGCTCTGCCACTGTGCCCAGGGCATCTGCCACCCGAGTCTTCTCCATCACATCTGCCCTATCCAGTGCGCTCTCCACTAAAGGCAGTTAAAGCTTTCCAGAGCTGGCAATTCCTAGTATCTCAGAAAAGAACAGAAATGATTCTGGGTTTCACAAACGGAGAGCATGAAGGGAAACGTGTGCACCGTGTTCTCATTTACCTTCTCTTGTTTCTTCAAAGACCTGCGGTCCTCTGTGGGCACAGCAGTGTGGCAGTCAGTATTATACAACTGGTGTTTGCTGTGACGTCAGTCCCGATTTTCAGCACTTGGCCAGCTTTGCACCTGCAATTCAGAGTAAGTCGTGAATGTGTGGAAGGTGGAACACTGCCTTGCATTTAAGTGGGGAAATAGCAACAAGTCCTATCGAACTCCTCTGAAAGTCACATTTTTATATGGGTGTGAAATTTGACTTACTCATAAAATATGTTTCTTTCATCTTTTCCTATGTAGCCTGCCCTTCCTTTGTAGATGTCGTGGTTGTGTGTGATGAATCAAACAGCATTTATCCCTGGGATGCAGTGAAGAACTTTTTGGAAAAATTTGTACAAGGCCTGGACATAGGCCCCAGAAAGACACAGGTATGGATATCAGTAGTGCATAAACTGGCCTGTGGCTTTCTTCCTGAGAAAATAATGTTAGAAATGAAATTTTAATTTTTCCATTTGCCAAATCCCTGTATTAAATACACTTAATGGTAACCTTCAAAGTTAATTGAGACTTACTTTACTATGAATTATTATTTTGCCTATAACTTTGCTGTTGGCCTCAGAGTTTTGTTTTTGAAACAGGCATGGGGTATGAGAATATCACATTTTAATACTTTTGTAGTTGTCTGTTTTGGGCCTTTGAAACCATGAATTTATAAATACATTTTAAAATTGGATATATATTTTTTATGTTCATGTGGACTGGTAATGAATTTCCTCTGTTTATTCCTTACTAACAAAACAATTTTCTTTGAATTCTGGGAATTAAGCTGTCATTTCCTTTTCTAACAAGGAAAGTATGGGGCTGTGCTATATATCACTATCTTCTCTCACATTACACATTGAAACCCTTAGTTATTTTCAATCCTTCTCTCGGGCTCAAGTCTTACATCCTGTGCTAAAGAAAAGGCTCCAGCCATATTTTATTTCTTACCATCTTCCTAGTGCCTAGTGTATTGTCTTCTAGCTAACAGTAGCACAGTGACCCCAGAAATCCAGCCTTGTGTCTTCTGCCTTCCTTTCCTTCTGGCCAGTCTTAATGAGTTTCATTACCCTTCATCCGCTATTGCTATTTCCAGTTCAGAAAACCCCATCTCCTAGGCATGGAGAATGGGTTCAGTGACTGAGAACAAAGAAAATTGTGGAAGGTTCTGACCTTCTCGACCTCAGTTATTAAAAGAGGTCCCCAAATGTCTTGTTCAGAAGTTTTTTTTTCAGCTCTCTAAAATAAGATTCTCTGTAATGGAATTTTTTTGAAAGACTGAAATTCCTGACCCTACATACAAGTGTAGCTACTTTCCTCCAGAAATACTGAAGCCTACAATAGAGAAAATCTAGGATAGTAGATAAATCCAAATGGACTCATTTCTCAGGCATACTTTGGCTTTTTTTTTTTGTAATCAACTCTGATTCTTTATTACATAATTCCCCTCAATAGATGAGATGTTCCCTCCATTTAGATTGCTTACACTTGTTTGTAATTGGAAAGTTTATTGATAGCCATTCTAATCTGTCTTTTACAAACGTTGTCATATTCATCAATATCAAAGATTAAAAGTGGTTCATGGAAAATTCTGCAATTATTACTCTTGAGAACCAAATCATAGCTTGTTACACATCATCTTTCTTGGAAATAGTATTAGTGTTACACAGTGAACTGAGGGCCTCTAACAAAGAAGCTATGCCACTGAAAGAAACATAACCATCAGGAAAAAAATGGAAGTGATTTCTGTAACTCGTCAAGCCATGTCTAAATGCACTTTTGGGTTTTACTATGTTGGTTACATAGAAATGATTTATAATATAATGACAACCATTAGTAAGGTTCTGCTCTTTTGAAGGTTGCCTTAATTCAATATGCCAATGACCCAAGAGTTGTGTATAACCTGAACACTTTTAAAACCAAAGATGAAATGATTCGAGCAACATCCCAGACGTTCCAGTCTGGTGGGGACCTCACAAACACTTTCAAGGCAATTCAATTTGCAAGGTAAGTTTTGATGTTCAAGGCCAACACTTTGACACCATGCATATGCTGACAGGACAAAGGAAAGAAAAAAAATAATAATATACTTTGAAACCACACTGAAGTCCGAGCTAATAAAGAATATATGTCTGCACATTGATTTGAATAATTTGAGAAAGTACTTCAGAAATGAGGTAAAAAATCTTTGACTTTAGGATTTTTATAAGATGTGACATGGTTTTTGTATTCTTTTACTTGAGTTAAATGCAATGAGCAGATCTTAGGTTAAAATATTGAGAAATGAAGGAATCTGCCATTTAATGTTTGTCAAAACTTCACACAAATTAATCCAAAGAACATTTAACGGAAATTATTAAGAGTCATAGAGTTTTACACACGTTAGCTCGGGTTGCATTGAATGAGTTTATCATGCTTGGTACAGTGGGAAGCGTGAACTTCACAACTGCGTAACATCGTCCTCATTCTTCCCTCAGTCTCTCTTTTTCTTCTTTCTCACTTTCTCTGTTTTTTCACCTTCCTGACCTCCACCTTTCCTTTATTTAACCAGACGTAAAAATGCTGCACCTTTCAACTGTTAAAAAAATGAGAATAATATCCTTGCCTTCCTTTTAAACCTGCTTTGTGCCTTTTTCATCTTGTGAGTAGCTTCTTTCCAATACCATCATTCCTTGAAAAAAGTGTCTGTAATCCCTTCCTTACTCCTCAGACACCTATAGCTCTTCCACTAGAGGACAGGGCCTGTGAGTTTTTTGAGCCCAGTAGTCAGGCCTTGAGGCTCATCCTCCAGCTCCCCTGAACATTTGATAAAGATGAGCAAACATTGCTCTTCTAGAAGCCCAGTGGTCACACCACAAACTTCTGGGATCCCTGCCAACTTTCTGTCAGCAACTTCTGCCTCTTCACTGGATCTTTCTCCTGGTTTTTCTCCATGGAACAGAGGCCTCTCTTCCTCATAGCCATTCTCTCTGAGGAATTGTATCTGCTCCCATGGCACGAGCATCAGTTCAGTGTGGGTCACCGTGTTGCTGTGTTATCGACCCTGAATTCTCTCCCAGCTGTCACTCACACATCTGGCTGGCGCTGAATAGCTGGGTTTGGAGCGTTGGCTCACTTACCAAATTCAGCCTGTCCTAAGATGGCCTTATTCTTTTCTCTGCCACTCCTCATGACTTTGTCATTTTGGTTCACACCACTGCCTACTCTCCCGGTCATTCAGACAAAACGACTATTTTTACCATTATTTTCTTTATGTTTTCCATTTCTCTCTAGACTGCACATTGCTCAGTCACCACATCCCACCATTTCTATTCCTGTATTTCCCTCTGTGTCTCTCTTTTCTTTTTCTGTGTATTTTTAGTTGCTGCTTTCATCAGGGGATGACTCTCCTGTATCTCAGAGGCAGACTCCCCATTAGAGAAGATGCGAATGACTTGATCTTTCTTGTCTCTATTAAGTTGTCATTTTGGGCCAAGGCAACTCATATACTGCTGCCATTCACTATGCCAGCTGTCATTAGGCTAAGTGTCCTTTCTGGTCCTGTAGGCTGGATGAAGAGGAGAAAATATGGTTGAGTTACAAGGTGACTTCATTAGGATTAGAAGCTGCTGAAGGTACCTGTTTTCAGCGGGAGTATGGGGGTGGCATTTGCCACTGGAAGCAGCCAGAGGCCTGGCAAGCATTTTTCTCCTTGATAATGGTCACTGTTGAGAAAGGACTAGTCTGGCTTTCATCATCTTTTCGAAACTTTGGTTTCTTCCCTTGTACCACCACTTTTTCTCAAGCTAACATGACTTAATCCCCTATCGCTAGAATAATCTAACTTCTTACTCATTTCTCTATCTTTTTTCCTCCCTATCTCTCCTTAAAATACTCAGTACATTTCTGACACATTCAGCAAATACTGTCATGTTTTCATTCACCTTCTGGACGGTTAAGGTTGCAATTCATTGGTCCAAGTTCTGCAGGGATCAAAATTAAATGAAGTACTGTTTCAATCCTCAAAACTTTATGAATGTAATCAATGGTATGTCATAAAGGATATACTTCACTCAGAAAGATTTGATGGGAGTATTGTAACTCAAATGTGTGTAGCTGGAAGCTGTGGAAAAGTTTACTACATTTCTACTTTTTATAATTAAAGTACATAAAAATTTCAGGAATACATGGTAAGCTCAGTTTCAAGTACATTGACTTTGAATGAACCTAACATATTCAGGTAAAAATACCTAGCAAGCATTGAATCTATAAATTTGAAGATGAGGAGACAAACAGAAAATATGTAGGTATTGAAGTATTGTGTAGCTGTGGTTTATCCAGGAGAGTAGGTGGCATTTCCCAGAAAGAATGTGTACCAGGAAAGTCCAAAATACAGAGGAAAAAACACTGTAGGACAACTGGGGAGGTATCTAGAAACAAAAGAGAAAAACTTGCTTTACCCTTCACATCAAAGTGTTTTTCAACTGGACCAAAATTTTAAATCTAACAAAGTCAAAGCATTAAAGGTTTAAGAAACTTGTGACTTTAAAAAAGAAACTTTGGTTATAAGTCTATAAAATATCATGTCAAGAATAAAAGAGAAAACAAAATTAATGACTTTGGTTACGTGAACACATAAAATTTCTGTATAGTGAAATCCAAAAGATGATCAACGAACTGAGGAAAATGTCATTATATTATTTCTCAATAATCACAGTACCAAAGTTTAAAAATTTTAATAATCTTCATTGTCAGGGAATAGGTAATTGCATTCTTACTGTTACACAAAAGGTAATACAAATGGATAGAAATGTCAGAGAGACAATTTATGTTGTCCACTGGAATTTGAAATGTATATACAAACTCTGCCCTAATAATTTCACTAAGAGTTTACCCCACTCTTAGTGAAATTAAGAAATTAGTGAAATTAATTACTTAAAAAGTATGAAAAAATGCATACATGGGAATATTTGTTATAGCATTACTTGTAAATCTCAAAACAGCCTAAATTTCCAATAATGAAAAATGAGTTAAATAAACTGGTGCCTCCAAATAATGAAATGTTATGTAGACATTAAAAAGAATGGGGCTTTATATGTGCTGATACAGAAACTTTCCGTAAGAGTGAAAAATAACTACCTGCATTTAAAATATGGCCTTATTGCTATAAGAGTTTAGCAGGTAGACTACACATACACCTGTACTGTAAATAAAACACTTTATAGGAGGGAGCGTAAGAAACAGACTAGTGGTTACCTCTGGAGCAGGAGCTTAGTATCAAATTTTTGTTCATGCCTTTTGAAATAGTTTGAATTTTTGTGACGCTGTATCTCTACAAGTTTTTTAAAAAGTAATTGTGTTGAAAAGTAAACACGGGTCCAATGAGTTAAATTTATCTTTACTCTGTTGACTAACATTAATGAATTTAATTTTCTAATAAGAAGTTATTCTAAGGAATCCTGGAGTAAACTCACACACACAGACACATACACATATACACACACATGCCATGAAAGTACTTTGTAATGTCAAGCAAGAATTCTGTTTTTATATGTTATTCTACATGCTACAAATAGAGGGCTCTTAACACCAATATCAACAATTCTAACTCATGATAGGTTGGGCTTAGAGAAGCTAGTTTCTTATTTCTGTTTCAAACCTATGAACTTCATCTACTGACGGTGAGTCTTTTATCTGCCGCAGGACTTTTGCTTATTCAGCAGGTTCTGGTGGTCGACCAGGGGCGACCAAAGTAATGGTAGTTGTAACCGATGGAGAATCACACGATGGCTCGATGTTGAAGTCTGTGATTGAGCAATGCAACAATGACAACATTCTGAGATTTGGCATAGCTGTAAGTGGCTTTTCTTTGTACTGCCTTGCGGTTGATGGATATATGTTCCTTGATGGCATTATTTTTCAAGCCTGCACTTTCTCACTGACTGTTATTTTATTATAAAAAGTTTTTTTTCTGCCTCTACTTCATACTCATCTTCAGTCAACTAAATAAATGGTTGTAGGAATGTTGCTTGATTTGCTCCTCCAGGGAGTGTGTGATGTTCAGAAATAGACCAGAATGTGCGGAGAGGAAAATGTGGTGTGGAGGGAATGATCTTTTCTCCTCTTCTATTATTTTCTAGGTTCTTGGCTACTTAAACAGAAATGCCCTCGATACTAAAAATTTAATAAAAGAAATCAAAGCAATTGCTAGTATTCCCACAGAAAAGTTCTTTTTCAATGTGGCTGATGAAGCAGCTCTACTGGAAAAGGCTGGGACATTAGGAGAACGCATTTTCAGCATCGAAGGTAAAAGAGCACCTTCCAAGAATTCTCTTCCAAAAATTTTCTTTCAGTGTTTGTTATTTCATCCTGACATCTTAGGCCTGTTAATGATAACTTGTGTAGCCTGTATAGAAGGAACTCCTACAGATCAGTAAGAAAAAACAGAGAAAATAATTTATAAAAAAAGAAAAGACAAATGGCCAGTAAACATAAGAAAATATTCTCTATTTCAGTTATTGCTTGTATTGTTCTTGTGTTATTTTGTAAATGGATGGGTGTTTGTTAATATATTTTTGTTCTTTTATTTTTAAAATGAAATAAAAAAATAAAGATATAAATTCAAACACTATTATGTTTTGTCTAGAAGATGGCACACTGCAATATTTAAATTTAGATTTCTTAGAGGCAAAAAAGTCCATACATAGTTGATAAGATGAGGAATTGTTATAACTTTTAGGGGACAATTTAGCAATATCATAGTCATAGTTTCATCTTCTATACTATGTTACATAATTTCTGAAGCTTTTGAATTTGTTTATAATAAGTATATATGCTTTTAAGATTATAAAAATATCATGAAAATTTTTAATTTTTCAGTTTTGAGGAAATATTTATTGGGCCTAAAGTACTTTACTTATGTGGCTTTGAAAGTCTAGTAAGTGTAGAAACATTGCATTTCCAGGAGGTCAACAGATGGAGGATTGGAACATAGTTTAAAGTGGGTAAAAAGTCTTGCATGACACAAATTCTGGCTCCAGATGATAAATACAACTAATTGTAAGCAAGGAAAAAGGTATTTTATTGAGCACCTACCCATCAAGTACTACTTAGAAGGGGATTGCCTAAATTAGAAAAGCTAATTACGATAGTCAAATCTTGATCTTCTCCTTATCCACTGAAATTTCCAAACACATTTATTTCTTACATATATAATGCTACTTTGAAGTTGTTTAAATTCTTATCAAAATGTAATTTTCTCTGAGCCAATACAAGATTATTAAGCTATCTGTGCTTGTAATCCTGTTTGTTTATAGTGGCATGACTAGAACAACTACATGTAACCTGAAAGCTAACTAGAAATGATTTTGTACATTATCTGCTGTGGTAGTATTTTGAGAAACACTGTGCTAGTTTATTAAAAATTGCCTCTATTCATCCTGTGCAAATTACTACATCTTCTAAACAAGAGTATGTTATGTAGTACAGTTTCTCCTTTATTACTGCATCAGTCTAGGGTTTAGTTTCCTTTTTGTGAGCATTAATGAAGCATAAATTTTGATTGCAATCAAAATACTTGGAAAATGAATGGGTACTAATTGAATTTTACAGTGTTAGACACAGAGACAAGCACATGTGTAAAACTAGGACAGACTTAGTAAATAACTGGTAAAATTCCTGCTGAACCCTGAATCTTGGTTCTCCATGGCTAACGCAAATATCTCTGAGCATAAGCCTCACTATGAATCAACTGCCTAAAATTTAGATTTGTGTCTCTAATTGTGTCTGAGATATTTGTGTGTTTAGTGGTACCACATTTGAAAGATCAAAATTCACTTAGTTGCTTGACTAGTAATGCTCAATTAAAAATAAAACCGTGACTTCCATTTTCACCTTAACCTCATATCCTTCTTTGGTTGAGAATTTTTTAGTATTAGGAATTTCATGAGTATCCCATTAAATACATTAATGCCCAACTCATATTAAAGCTAACGTTGAATACTACCTTGCAAGTTTTGTGGATTTCTATAGTCTGTTAGAACACTTCCTTAGTGAATTTCTCTTCCCGGAATCCTCTGCTATATATTTTTGGGTGGACATTAGCACACTATATGTGTGGGTGCATGTGTATGTGTGTAGCTGTCTGCCTGTGTTTGAACACTCGAGTTGAAATTGCTGATAATAATACACATCCTGAAACTGTATTTTCCAGGTACTGTTCAAGGAGGAGAGAATATACAGTTGGAAATGTCGCAAGTAGGATTCAGTGCAGATTACTCTCCTCAAAACGTGTGTATATCAGATCATTTTAAGCCATATTATTCTTTTGGCACTTCCAGATGCAGTAGCTTATATGTAAAGTTGGAAAAACAGTCACCTGGTAACAACAGTTCTGGTTCATAGAACTCACAGTCTGTGGGCTTCTTTGTGCTGCTGATTTACCACCTAAAACACCAAGGGTAACAATGTCTTCCCTTCCCTATTTCAAAGGGATTTTCTATGGGGGAAAAAAGATAATATACATGAAATACTTTGCACCCTCCAGGGCACAGGCACTATATTAATTTTCAGTCTGATGCCTGCAGGAATTTCCTTTGAATCAATTAGCTACTGGAAACATTTGTCAAAAACACAAACTCTGGGGGGGGCTGGGGATTTAGCTCAGCGGCAAAGCGCCTGCCTGGCAAGCGCAAGGTCGTGAGTTCTGTTCCCGGTACTGGAAAAAAAAAAAAAAAAAATACAAACTCTCATCATCGCTGACACTGTTACCTTCTGAGTGGCCATATTATCATTTTCTAAGAAAGAGACAAAACAGTTGAAAAACTAAGTATTTTGGGAAAATGTGAGGTGGAATTGGAGTACATCACTGTCTTCTTAGCTCTGAGAAGTTCATTCTTCTTTGTCAGAAACATCCCCCTCCAAGTCACTGATTCTCATTTTCCCCAGGGTAGGGATGGGGTAGTGGGAAGGGTAAGGAGGTGTGAGACCCTGAGAAATATTAAGGGAACAATATGAACTCAGGTGCAGATCAAGGACCAAGAAGAGCTTATTCTCTGTCTCACATAAAAGGTGCTAATTTTTTCTGGATCAACAGTCCTTAGAGATGCTCATAAAAGTTATGACTCTTTCAGATAGAAAAAGTCTAAATGAATCTATGTTCAGAGGATGTCACATAAAATTCTAGGAGGTGTTCTATATTCCCTAGAATCCACACATGATCCTCCATCCAGAGTCCCTGATTTTATTATGCTCATTTGCATAATTTGTTAGTCTCTCATCCCCAGAATGGGGCATATCATTTCCCTATTTACTACTTTTAATCCAAAATCATATCTACGTTTTCTAATATCTAAGCTCAAAAACTCAAAAATAACATCCTCCCTGCTCTCAGATATCTCTGACTAGTCAGATCTGCTTTGAGGCAATACAAAGTAGGCTGGTTTCTTTGACCATCGACTTAGGAAAATCCTTTTCCTATTTTTCTTCCAGTAGATGTACTGCTACAGTGGAGGAGCCTTTTGTAGTTGCAGTATTGTTAAATAGATAGGATATCAAAATAGGTGCCAGAGGAACATTTGAGATGAACTCGAGAGAGGAAGTTGAAAATACAGTAGGTCAGACTGGGGCCTGTCACAACCTGCCTGGGACAGCAGCCGCCGGGCCCTCACTGCTCTGAGTCAGCATTTCCTATTACTCAAGCGTGTCACATATCCACTGCAGTGCTTCTAATGAAATGTGCAACTAGGGGTTTCACTTTTGACTCCTTTCTATAAGCTTCGAAGGGCTCCAAACTTACAAATGTGTGAGTTTGAATGGAAATTCGAAGATAGCTCTGTAATTGCTGCTCTTTATAAAGATTTATCTATATTATATGTTAGAGCAAGTACAACCCAAGGTAATATAGCCAAGGGTAAGGCTTGTTTTCCAGTACAAATTTATTAAAACAATTCTGAGCTATATCACCATACAAGTATTTATGTTTTACTTCATTGATGCTTATTTTCCTTAAATATAGACAATTTACTTCATTGTTTTGCCTATACTTCTTTTTTGTACATTGAAAGTGATTCATGTTATAATCTTCATTTTTCAATTATTTTAGGGTGTTCTGATGTTAGGTGCAGTGGGCGCTTTTGACTGGAGTGGGACCATTGTCCAGGAGACTTCCCACGGACACTCAATCTTTCCTAAGGAAGCCTTCAACCAAATTCTGCAAGACAGAAATCACAGTTCATACTTAGGTGAGGCAGAGGAGTGTTTGGCTCAGCAAACTAAAGTTTCCTTCCTTTAAACCAGCTCATTGTTGAATCTCAGGGTCAATTCAGCAAAACTTCCTGGCTGCCATCTAATGTACGTATTTAGTGTTCATATCCAAGGTGCTTCTTTGCCAACAAGCTTCTGCTCATAGCTACTTAGTGAAGCACTGTGTTTACACACCAATCTCATTCAGCTGCTCAGTTGGTTGTAATTCCTAGAGTATGGTGGTGTTTCTCAACAATGGAACTATTTTTTTTAAATCAGTACACTAAGCTGTAATCTTACATTATTTTAGAGTTGCTAGTATTTTTGTTTCTCTTATAAAGAGCCACAGATTTGGAGCACCTTTTGTGGGGCAGTTCCGGAGTTGGTTATTCTACCTACATAAACTTTGAAATCCTACCACAACTCCTACAACAAGAGGAGGAGTTGTAGTTGCTTAAAGTTGTACTTGCTTAAAGTTAAACAATCTACTAAGTACAAAATGCACAATTCAAAGGGGCTGGGGATTTAGCTCAGCGGCAAAAGCGCCTGCCTGGCAAGCGCAAGGTCGTGAGTTCGGTTCCTGGTACCGGAGGAAAACCCAAAAAAAAAAAAAAAAAAAAATGCACAATTCAAGTCTGAGACTGTGAATCAGCATCTAGGGCTGGCTGCATAGATGAATTTCGGCCTATACTGGGCATTGCTAGAAGTGAAAGGGCAGGAGCAGTTCACTGTAGAAACAGGCACACACACCATCAGTGGTACACTCAGGAGCACTGGGAACTGTGCATCGTACCTAACACAGAAGGACCTCTGATCAGTTCACTAACTTTGCAGATATAATCTGTCTGAGATAGTCAGTCGCACTAACTCTGTGACTCCTCCTTTAGGTTACTCTGTGGCTGCAATTTCTACTGAAAAAAGTGTCCACTTTGTTGCTGGTGCTCCTCGGGCAAATTATACTGGCCAGATAATTCTATACAGTCTTGATGAGCATGGCAATGTCGTGATTATTCAGACTCACAGAGGGGATCAGGTACGTACCACTGATTAGCAGGTAAAACTCATTTTATGGACAGTTGGAGCAGGTGGTAAGTTGGTTGGGTAAAAATGGAAGCTAACATTTATTGAATGCTTCCTCTGTGTTTGACTTTCTACTCTGAATTTATGTGGACAAGTATATCTTAAGTGTCAAAACTGTACAATTTTCTGACAGGTTGTAGAGAGTTTAGCTGGCTTTTTTTGATCACACAGCTGTACTGGAGTTGAGCTGTCATTACAACCCAATTCTATCTGGCCTCAAATCCTTTGCTGTTTGCTTACATCTCCATCCATATTTTTGTCTGCCCAGAGTATATTTTTGGTCTTTATGTAGTCTTGATGGCAGAGACCTAACTACTGCTTTGTAAGCAAGTCCGTGCTAGGACCCAAGGATCTGGAGGAGACATAATAAGAAGGAAAGTGTATAACACCATAAAAATGAAGTGCCTAGATCTGGGCCTGTGAATGTGTACTGTTCCCTTTGATGTTTGTAAAAGTCAAACAATTCTTTTACCCGCCCCTTTCCATTTATATGTGGCCATTTGGTCAGACCCTATGATGAATCCTAGTGTGGCCCATTGTAGCCAATATCAGTGTTTAACAGGTAAAACTAATTTCATTTTTTGCCAAAGCAATGGTTCCTGTTTCCTCTCTAAGCAGTTCTTACCCATGGGCTTTGTACCTGTTTAAACCAAGCACCCATGATCCCTGGCAACCAATAGAAATTGGTTTCCTTCTGTGAGAAGGAAAAATTAACTACAGATTTCTGTTCTCTGGGATTAAATTTGACCCTTTGTTGCTCTGAATTTTCTAGAGTAAAATCTGAGCTCTTGTCTTCCTTGGTCAACAACTAGTTATGGCTGTGTACTTTTTCCTACTGTTTAATATTTTAAAGAATGTATTTATTTTGAGAAAACACATGGCTGTGTATCAATTTCTAAATCCTTAAGAAGCATTCACATGGGCACAAATCAAACATTGGTGAATAGGATGAGCATTCATATTCCCACTCTCTTCACTGTACCTGCATCTCTTCCTCCCACCCTAATCTATCTGGCAACTACTTACCTATCCAGACCATGCCACGGACATATCACTCATTCTTCCCCATTTCTCTCCATATAGAAACTCCTTGTCTTCCTTAAGATGCAATTCAAATGCTACTTTGTCTTTCCGAGCATCATGACTCCCCTCTACTCTGCTCACTCAGCATTAGGGATTGGTCTGCGTTACAGTATATTTTACCACAAAATACAGCAATTTGTTTCCCCTGCCTCTGCTTCTCCTGCCTTTCTCTACAACATGCCTCACATTTCGGGTTTCCTTCATTAATGTGGTCTTTGGCCCACCAGTCTCAGAAGTACCTGGAATGCTTATTTTAAAATGCTTTTCTTCAGGATCACATGCTAGGCGTTTCATTAGAGTCTCTAGAGGTGGGTTTCTGAAATCTGTATTCCAAAGCCATTTTCTTAGTTATTCTTATGCACAGTAAGGTTTAAGCACCAAGCATTAGACAGTGGAGGGAAAGGATTGTGTTGCTGGTATTTATGTTCCTAATGTTAATATACTTTACTGCTTCAGATTGGCTCCTATTTTGGTAGTGTGTTGTGTTCAGTGGATGTGGATAAAGACACCATCACAGATGTCCTCTTGGTGGGTGCGCCAACATATATGAATGACCTCAAGAAAGAGGAGGGAAGAGTCTACCTGTTCACTGTGGCAAAGGTAAAAAAAAAAAAAAACTAATATTTTAATACGTGTTTGTATGATAAAAGTTAATTTGCATTTGAGAGAATTAATTTGAACAATTAATTTGCATGTTTAGTACAGTTTATGTTTCATCAGTTTGAGGAGGTCATTATTAAGTTCTGATTTTAAAAATCACAGTAAAAGGCATAATGAGGTTTAATGTATACTGTATTACTATTTTCCATGAGAGGTTTTTGAATACATATTCTCTTATATAAATAAAATCATTATAAATACACATCACTTTTTGAAATACACATATATGCACATATAAACCTTGCACACTTTCCAAGTACCACAATTTTAAAAATAAAAAGATAATAACCCCAGATGCTTTTTACATTAGTTGGTCATGAAATTCCATTACTTAGTGTAACTAGGCATATATCCAACTCTTGGAATTTCTAATTGTTACATATAAAACTTAGCCCACCCTGTCATAGAAAAGCACAACTTTTCCAACTTGTAGACTAAATTTTATAGATCTGTGTAGACAAGCATAGTAAAATTGGAAAACCTAATTAAAGGCCCTGATTGAGATAGAAAATTAGATAACTAGAAAGGGAAAAAGAGAGAGTGACGGTAACATTTAGTAAAGATTATGGTCATTTTGCTTGTGATATTTGTCATATTACATTTTTAACATTAATGTAAAATTAACCTTTTAGTAGAGGCAATTAAAACAATTTTAATTATACATATAAACAGTATTTAATTGCATAAGGGCAGAGCATCTCTACTTACTTGAAAAATTAATAAATCTCTGGTTTTTTATGTTTTTTGCATGTCAAATATTCCAAGCTGTCATTAATTATTGGAGATGAAAATATCCCTCAATACTTTATCAAAATCAAGACCAAATTAATTTCCCTGAAGTTGTAAGAGAAGAGAAAAAATTAACACTGAGCCAGCTTCATTGTTGAAAGCATGGCTTTCTTGTGAAGTCACGAAATATTTCCAGACTGATTACAAAATCTGAAGGAAAAACTGTGTATCTTAACAGAAAATATCTTTTCCTTTGGGCAGGATTATTTAGTGTTTCTTTTAATAGATTATTAATAATCTCATTTTCCACTTCCTATTCCATTACAATTATGCCTCTACCAGTAATTTTTAAGGAAAATAGAAATTATCATGTTTTATTTTAGTGTGTGTGCCTAACTTAATTTCATTCAAGATACCACATTTTTATCAGAGGATTTTCAAAACAAAGGTTTGGAAACAGGTGAAAATACTAGGGAAAATGGAGTAGAAGCCTTCATGTAAGTTACTCTGCTATAGAGAAGGAAATTACCTCCTTTCACCTTGGCTTATGAGCAGATTTCCTGTGACCTTACTCACTGAAATTTGTACTTGTAATTCCCATTATGAACAGAGGACTTTTAATTCTATGTTTAAAACTCTGTCCACCTTTACCAGTTTGAAATGATTTGGACACCAATTACTCTGAATTTTAGTTGCTGTCTATGAATTGATCGGTTTGTCTTCATTATCCTTTTTTCCCGCTTTGAAGGGCATTCTGAATCAGCACCAATTTCTTGAAGGCCCTAATGGGATTGAAAATGCTCGCTTTGGCTCAGCGATTGCGGCTCTTTCGGACATCAACATGGATGGCTATAACGATGTGATCGTCGGTTCACCTTTAGAGAATCAGAACTCCGGAGCTGTGTACATTTACAATGGTGAACAAGGCACCATTCGCACGAAGTATTCTCAGGTGATCGATGAGCTACACAATATATTTTCATGTGAACATCATCTTGTTCAAGCTAGAGAGTATCATGTATACCATAGAATCCATCCCACTTATTTTATAAGCTTCATTCATTCACTCAGAAAATATTTAGTGAGTCTTTATTATGTTCCAAGAACGGTGGATGTTATGAAGCGTAGGAAAGACAAAATTTTGCTCTTCATGGGCCCTATATTCTAACAGAAGAAACGAAAAAGGGGAAAAAGATAGATAAATAAGATAAAGTGTTCCCACTATAGATCCCATTTGTAGTAATAAATGCTAAGGAATAAAAACAAGAAAATAAAATTAAGATGGAGAATAACATTTCAAGGACGAGAAGTATCAGGTGATTGGCTAAGAAACCTTGCTGAATAGGCCCGAAGACAGAAAGCTAGTGCAGCAGTCCAAACTGGGAATTGGCATCGCCTCCTTCCCATCCACTCACCTTTTCACGGTTTTGTGTTGTGATTTTGAATTAAAGAGTCATACTGTTTTCCTGCTGGAAACATGGCTGCAAAAGTGATACAGAGATCAGATAAGATGTGACTTTGAGAAATCAATGGAGTGTTGTGAAAGATAAAGAGAACCTGGAAAATGATATATACAGAATATAATGAAGCAATATAGAGGTTGCCATTATTCTAGTTCAGCCACTGGGCATTATAATTTCATATCAAACTTGCTTTTTCAGAAAATCTTGGGCTCTGATACAGCCTTCAGGAGTCAGCTCCAGTTCTTTGGGAGATCTTTAGATGGCTATGGGGATTTAAATGGGGATTCCATCACTGATGTGTCCATTGGTGCTTTTGGACAAGTGGTTCAACTCTGGTAAGTCAATTAAGGCCAGACACAAGCTAACTAGCCAAAAATGACTAGCTATGCTGCTATTTAAAAATGACACATGAATTATAAAACATCATAGGGAATGTATGTATCATAGTTTATGTAAAGGAAGAAATATGGTTTTTTCTGGGGATGGGAATATATATATATATAAAATTATAGAGAGAGTGAAGAGAAACTGGATTCTAATATTGATTCAAATGATATATATATATATATACACACACACACAAGTATTAGAATCCAGTTTTTCTTCTCTATATGGTGAAGTAAATAACACATAGAAAAGACAAACCCTTGAAATGATATCCTGATATTTCTGAATTTTATATTCTTATAAACATCCTTACCTTACAACAAAGAAGCTTTATAAAGGTACAATGAAAGTACTGAACATTCAGATTACACAAGTGAAACTTCATATGTGGCAGAAAGGTGTATTTTAAAATTATTAATCAGAAACAAGAAGCCGTAATTTAGGGTTATCTGACTTCTCATTGACCTCTGTAGGAGACAGAGAATGAAGGGGGAAGAAGGGAGTCAAAGGCTGTGTGATTCAAGTTCAAAAGTTTGTGCACAGACTGATGAGGGAATGGAATTAGAACCAAGTTGATTTTTCAGCTAAGAGTCAACATTCATTTGTTCATCTGTGCTAAAAATGTGCTTTAAATATCCAAATGTATCAAAACCAGAAAAACATTATTTATTGGTGTTTTGTGATTTCTGAGTTTAGTTGTGCTATTTACATACCTCAGTCATGTTTTTAATGAGTAAAATGCATTATTTTCATTGCAGAATGAAACTACTATGTTATGTGGGAAAAACAAAATTCAGGAATAATATTTAAGGCTATGAAAAACAAGAAAATGTATTTGCTGAATAAAATTAGTTAAAATCATATAAGACTTGCATGCCAAGAATAAATGCAAAGTGTGATATAACTATGTGGCTTATTTTTAAATGATTTAATGAAAAAGTCATGCCTCTCAGTGGACATTTTGGTAGGCAACATATGTGGTAGATTACATTTATGAAATGACACTCTTTTTTAATATAGTCAGTAATGGCCAAACTTCTCTTTTGAATTTAAGACTTTTTTAAAAACTTTAAGACACGTGAAGTCAAGTCAATGTTCTGAGATGATTTGCTCCAGTCAGGTTAATAATGTTTTGTGAGTACATTCCTATAAGGTGCTTAGGCTGGTTTTACTGGGTAATACCCTAAGAATAATATTTTAAATAAAGGTACAGAATATGTAAATCAGTGACATCTCTCGGAATAAATACTTAGTCTCTCAAAAAGAGTGCCTTAAATAAAATGTTCACTAAAGCATTTTAGATCTTACAAATTTGAGGACATTTTGCATGTGTTATTAAATATCTTAGGAGGCCTTCTAAGGAGGGCTGATGGATACATAATAACTATTGAAATAATTTTTCAGTTGACTGGAGTCCTTCAGGTGGTCCCTGAAATTAAAAGGAAATGTTTTCTGTATCTCCTTGTGGTACTTTTCAAAATAATGAACGTACTAATTATTGCTTGGTGTTGTGTAAGTAGTTGAAGGTGCACACGAGGTTTTCTGATGAAGTACAAATTCCACCGATGCAGGAATTGAGAGACTCTAGGTACTGATTTCTCTCTGGCTAGTACGCAGTAAACTGGGAAGCCACCAAATGTCAGTGTCTCAGACTTTTTCACTGAGCAAATGGAGAGAATATGTGTTTTCCTATTTCGCAGGAGTGTTATAAGGAGCCGCTGATGCCAACTGTTAGAGAGTAAGGGGCTGCTCCAGGGTCAGAACTCTATAGAACCCTGCTGACTGGACTCCGCAGTGTTTACTGACAGCAAACTAGTTGCCATCATTATGGCCATAAACCACCTTTCACAGGATTTCTACCAACCACTGAGCCAGCAGAGGGAAAGCCACGACCACACTCCTCTTCTGTGCTGCTTCCGCGTTCCCACCTTCCCTCTCTCTTGCCCTTGTGGGGAGACAAAAATAGCACTGCTAGTTGCCAAAACACACCGAAACCACACTTTGGAACCTCACTGGAAAGAGGTTGCAGGTTTCCATCCTGTGCGCACGCTTACTTAATAAAAATCTTACATGTGGATTGTGCTGGTGATACAGTCATAAACGTAAAAGACGTCTCTGCCTGACACCTCAGTGTGGTCAAATAGAAAATACTGCCAAAGTGCTCAGACAGAAAGAGGAAAGAAAGATGTGTTAATGCTGGTGTTGCGTCCTCTATATAATGGTCATGTGTGTGCTCAGTGATAATATCCATGAGCCTGCTTTCGCTTGTCTTTCAGGTCACAAAGTATTGCTGATGTGTCTGTGGAAGCTTCATTCAGTCCAGAAAAAATCATTTTGTTCAACAAGAATGCTCAGATAGTCCTCCAACTCTGCTTCAGGGCAAAGTTTAGACCTACTCGTCAAAACAATGAAGTGGGTAGGTAACCTGAAATAACCCTGGACAGGGTTTGATTTTAGTTTTAGCTCTGAATGCAACCTATGTCTTGATTTTAGTTTTAGCTCTGAATGCAGACACTTAAATTGCCACACACTTAACGTGCGTAAGAATGGTTTGGTGTATAATGTTTGTGTAGAGCCTTCTCCCTCATCTCTAGAGGGTGACATTCTGTAGAACATTGTAATCTCTGTGCAAAATCATGGGCTCTCCCAACTGTATTCTTTGAGTTTATCTTACCCACACTTTCCTTAAATACTCAGCGTACATGACCCTGACTTCTCCGAACTGCTGCTGCTTTTAAATGAGCATGCCATACATCGCCTGTGGCATGATCTAGGGAGGATGTGTTTAGGTATCAAGTACTGTTCCTGTTCTTGAGGAACAAGTGAACATGAAATAATGGAAAACAAGATATAATTCGTGTCTATTATTATACATTTTCCAAAAACTGCAGAAACGTGAGTAAAAGCCAAAACTGTGTCCTCCCGAGACAGAAGAAAATAAAACACTGTGGGCAGATGTGAGCAAGAATCATCCTATCTCTCCTGGGCTGCTCAAGTTACATTTCACAAGCTGGCTGAGGTCCCGCATCTTCTTTGAAGCTTTATCCAACCTTCTACCTCACCTTCTGCCCACTGCCCCAGTTACCTGAGCAGTCTCTGTAGGCAGTATGCAGCTTAACACTTGACCAGAAGCCACCTTTTTCCCTTTGCTGTTACTTCATGAGTTCCAGATCCCTTTCCTTCAGATTTGGCTCTAAACTTCAGAACCTGTAACTCCTACAGGTATTTAATTAAACAGTAAACAAAGAAACTTAAAGACTGAAAAGTATTCTGGTGGATTTGCTATGATTTATGTCAAGAGATACGAACAATAAACAAGAACCTTAAGGGGAAGTTAGATTCACATTTGGCATAATTTCCATGTTTCCCTACATTTACGTCCATCTGGAAGTTTTCTTTGCAAGTGTTCCCGTGTTGACCCATTTTGGAGTCGTACACATGACAGACCTGCCTTAGAGCCCACAGCCATCTGAACAGACTTGATAGTTAAGTCAAAAACCACTGCTGTATAAACACTAAGTTACTGTTCTGCCTAAAACATCAGAATTGCAAAATATATTAGTTGGCAGGAATGGCCGGCTGCTCAGCTGTCCTGGCCCTGACGTGTGATTATGCACTGTATATCCTCCATATTTTGACTCCACTTCGTCTTTTCTGTTGCTGCATACACAAAACTTCTCCTTGCAGGGACTTTTCCTTTCTACTGACTGGCCTTTCTGTCCCTGGCCTTTCCTACTATTGAGCACTTCTTTCCCCCTGAGTCCTTTACTCTGATACCTTCAGGTCCACACAGACATGATCATCTGCCTCTTTATTGCTTGGCAATAGTAACATGGTCAAACATGAATTCCATCTTTACTACTGTGAAAAGTGAATTTGTAAAGCGTGTGGTTTCTGCATTTTTATTTATTGCATCAGGCCCTGTCTTAGTTACTTTGTCATTGTTGGGATCTAACACCCGACACCTACAACTTAAAGGAGGACAGGTTTCTTTTGGTTGACAGTTTGTAGAGACTTTGGTCCATAGTCAGGTGGTTCCCAGGCACAGCAGCATGACACAGGAGGATGGTAGAGGAGAAGCAGGTCAGGGCATGCCTGAGGGGAACAGAGAAAGAGATAAGGGAGGAGGAAGGGAGATAGACCCTTTCAGGACTCGCCCCTGCCCCAGTGATCCACCTCCTCCAACCAGGCTTCACCTCCAACATTACAAGTAGCTGTAAACTCACCAGTGGATTAATCTACTGATGAGCACCATCCTCATGATCCAGTTACCTCCCAACACCCCAGCTATGAGCACATGAGTCTATGCGGGACATCTAGATGTGAACCATAACTGGTACTAACCCTAATTTAAAGTTAACATTAAAAACTCATACGTTTTCTATGAGACAATATCTCAGTTTCACCAGGCTTCTTTTTAAAAAATTAAAAAGTATTATGATATGTACGAATTTTGGCCTAACTACAGTCCCATACCTATCATTATTTCTCCTTTGTATCATTTTCACTGCTTATTTTTAGTTTGTTGGGCTCTTCCAAGTTTCATCCATCCTTACGGCACTTATGAAGTCTGTGGGGCAAGAAAAATTATACAAAATTATATAGTATCTCTAATAGATATTTAAAAGTAACATGTAATTAACCTTAAAATAGTGAAAATAATAAAACATAATAGAGAAACCCAAAGAAGTTAGTTGATGCTAGAACAGCACCAGAAAATCAGTCTAAATTGTGGACACAGGGCCAGTTGACTTCAGTTGGAGATAATAGTTCTGATAGTTTGGACACTGCTGCTCTCAGCAATTTTTATTACATTTTTAAAAAATTTTAACTTCCCTGGGTTGATTTTCTCATTTAATATCTGAAGAAACAGAGGTTCAAAGAGGTTCACTAAACTGCTCAAAGTCACAAAGCTCAGACACTGTGGAATTAGGATTCAAACCAAGTCTGACTCAAACCCTCTTGCTGAAGTGTTGCATGTCTTTCCCCATGGAAAAATCTGAAATATATCAGGCATTGTACAAGTTCTTTTGGAGGGTCTCATTTAATCTTCACAATAATATGTACCCTTACAACAGCATAGAAACAGAAAAAACCATGAACTTTTGTTTCAAAGATACCAAAATGTTGTTTCTGCCCATGCCCCAGCTGTGTGATTTTAGATGAATTATTTTGTTTCTTTTATTCTAATTCATTATCTGAAAAATAGGATGACAATATCCCATTTCCAGGTTTATTGTAAAGCTTGAATAAGGTGCTTTGAGAATTCTTCAGCTGTATTCCTTCAGTAACTTTTTCTGTGTCTCTGTGTGGATGATGAAGCCAGTACATGAGGGGATGAGTAATTTGCCCAGTTTTATGGAGTGGAATTCTTGTGACAAGTACAGTTTTCTGTCCCCTGACCCAAGCCATATTACTCTGAATCACACTTCTTTGGATCCAGAGTCACCCAAATCATACCAGAGCTAGAATTACAAACACATAGTGGTGCTATCCTTGGTTTATAATCCACCAGTGTAAATTCTATTTGTATATCTTCTTGAAGTCAATGATTTTGTCTGGTAAGATATAGTGAAGCAAGAATGCTTTTTTTTTTTTTTAAACAAGGTCATTTGCAATAACATTACTTTATGATTTTTGTCATAGCCATTATGTATAACATCACACTTGATGCAGATGGATATTCATCCAGAGTAACCTCCAGGGGTTTATTTCAAGAAAATAATGAACGATGCCTTCAGAAGAATATGGTACTAAATGTAGAAAACAGATGCACACAGTACACAATTCAAATACAGGTGAGGCATCAGGTCCTCTCTCTTGACCCCATTTCTTCTTAAAGAATAATGAATGCTGAAAATGTCAAAGGGACACTATGTATTAGAAAATTCTTGCCCTTCTAATTAATGCCTTTCTTGTCTAATTCCATGAACAGAGAGCATATTTCCTTTGTGCTAATACAGTCACATCCTATTAGATGTTAATGTCATTAAATTTCATTGGGGATTGTAAGTAAAAGTGCTAAAAATAATATTCTTAAGGAAACTGAAAATCTAATGCTTTCTTAAATGTTTAGCAGGGTGAACTTTAAATTAATAATAGATTCTATTCTGACATTTTTCCATGGAGAAAATTTTTATTTATTTTTACGCATTTGAAAATGCTAATTCTAATTGTTGTCTCTACTGTTGGTTTATATAAGAGAATAATGGTGGATTGTGAGGTAAAGATTTGTTTTAATCTTATGCCATAATTGCCACAGTTCTCAGAGATTTTGAAAAATCTCCCACGTAGGAAAAAAGCTTCTCAGGTAAAATTTTCCAAAAAGGAAATTTATTTTATAAGTTATATAAAATATTTTCCCTTAGCAACCACATATAAATATTTGAAAGTGTAGTTTAATCAGGAAACTAATTTAAAAAGAACTGCTTAAGTATTTTCCTAAATATTGTTCTCACAGGCTAAGGTACATAGAAATTGCCAACAAAACATTTATAAAATCTATACTCTGAGTTCCCACTACCAGAAATTTGAGTGTAAAGGGAGAAAGACCATGCAGGTTGAAGGGGCACTACAGATATTTCTGGTGTAGATAGGTGATACAGAGCTCACACTTCAAAAACTGTTAAGAGTAAGAGTTGGAAAAATATCAACTGAATGGTTAGATGAATTAAAGCTGGTTATTACTTTATTAAAGGTTTGTGATATAGGAAAGGTTAGACTTGTAATTTACTATGAAGGATTCAAGACAATGTAGCTTGTTTTCATAAAGAAAAAAAAATCTGTTTAGTATTTGCCATCGATGCCAGTTAAGTACATCCGTTGTATCAAGCCCATAGCCAGCTGAGGAGGCATTCCTCGCAGCCAGGGAACTTATAGTGAGGCCTGCCACAGGGATCAAGATTTAGGAGTAAATCCTGCCAGGGAATAGACCCAATGATCAATGAAGATTCCACTTCCCAGGAAAAACAAATTCAATTTTTAGGATCTTTTTCATTTGTACTGTAGACACTATTCTTTCCTGACACGAACTGGCAAGAGGTCTGTACGATGATTGCTAGATGAAATCTGAAACCCTGTTTTGGCATTTTAATGCCTTTCATTAGACAAGAAGCCTCAAAAACTGGAAGGGGACCATGCCTCCTGGAATGCTGTGAATCCTCTTACCCTCTCGACAGACGCAAAGTGGAGGAGTTGCACTTGTGTGTGGATAGCGCCGTGTTTAATTAGAAGTGATACAGGCCCCCTCTTCATGTGCAGTGCAGGAGCAACACAACTCACAACGCTCAGTTCTAGGCTGGGGAGTTGGGGGAGCTTGACTTAGGACACAAGAATCATCTTTGTCTGGTTCTGTAGAGCACAGTCAGCTCCTATAGGAAAGGGAGTATATTTGTCCCTTATCTGAGAGCCAGCCCTCGGCACTTCCCCTCTCGGTCATAGTGACTCCTTCCAGAGGATTGGTCAGGACACCTGAGGACTCTTACATCTTGGAAGGAGGAATTGGAAAGACATAGCCAGCAGCCCAAGTCCCCAAACCTAGCACAGGTGGTTTTTGAAGATTAGAACTGAACATATCATCTAATACTTATAATTACTTGTGTATAAATAGTGAGATTATTGATGAGCCCCACTAAGAACCACTGCTTTGGATTTTTACTGGAATCAAGTCTCCTTAGGTTACTTAGTAGTTTAGAGGTTGACAGCAGAATTTGGACAGAAATCCTTCAAAATAAGGATAGTCTACATAATTGAGCAATTCTGTGTTCTTAATTATAAACACGTTGTGGTTTTTTCCTTGCTTTAACACTGCTGTGCCCTCACAACAAACTGACTCTGTGTGTGTGTGTGTGTGTGTGTGTGTGTGTGTGGTGTGTGTTTAGAAACCCTCTGATGTTGTCAACTCTTTGCATCTACGTGTGGACATCAGTCTGGAAAAGCCTGGCACTAGCCCTGCACTTGAAGCCTATTCTGATGCTGTCAAGGTCTTCAGCGTAAGTGTTTCTTGCCCTTTCTGCAGCTAGACTGGCTAACAAAGTCTCATAGTCACTGCAGTACTATTTAAAGATACTTAGGACCTAGGACATGGCCTTAAATGTCTTAATTTTCAAAATGAAATTGTGTGTGACATTCACTAGCAGGTTAATTCCATGAAGCAGAGGCTCTTGTCCGGGTTGGTCACTGCTGTATCTCTAGCCCCTAGAGCTAAAGAAATAAATTTTAAAAATAAGGTGATCAACTTGTGCTCATCACCCACTTTAAAATATTGCCAGTGCCTAGGAAGTTCTAGCTATTACCCCTGCATCACATCTGCTGTAATCCAGCTCCCCTAAACAAGACATTATTTTTATTTTAATATTTGTCATTTCTCTCCTTGATGGCTTTGCTAAACGCACACATATTTCTAAACATTCTTTAGTTTTTCCATTGTTGTGAACTCTATGTAAATGAAATAACACTATATGCATGCTTCTGTATAGTGCTTTTCAAACCCAGAAAAAATTATTTTCTTTCTTACTTACTTTCTTTCTTTTTTTTTGGTAGATTCCTTTCTACAAAGACTGTGGCAGTGATGGAATTTGCATCTCTGATTTGGTTCTAGATGTCCAACAGCTACCAGCTACTCAGTACGTTAGACTTTAAAGCTTAGTGTAAAATACAGAAATATAAGTGACAGATTATTTCCTTCAAGTGAATGTTTATGGAGATCTTTTTCCTATAAAAGAAATGTTTATAATGCTAAACCCCCCTAAAAACTAGTATAAAATAAGAAATACAAAAGTATTGGTATTTGCATAGTTCTTCTCCCTGAAATGTAATTATAAGCAATGATGAAGAAAATCCAATAGCATGTATTTATTTTTTCAGTATCACTTTAAAATGTAGATAATTTTGGTTGCTAAGCAATTTTCTCAATATTCCAAATAGATACAAACAAGTTTTTTTCTTAAATGAATGAGGTTTTTAAGTATTGGTCCTTCTCTTTCTTTTTACTTTAATTGCCTTTTTTTCTTTTTCTCCTTTTACTTTTAACAGAAAACAGTCCTTTATTGTCAGCAATCAAAACAAAAGGTTAACACTTTCAGTAACACTGAAAAACAAAGGGGAAAGTGCATACAACACTGCAATTGTGGCTAATTTTTCAGAGAACTTGTTTTTTGCTTCGTCCTCCATGCCGGTATGTGGTAACAATCCGAGAATACAACTGTTGTGTTTCCTACTGACTATCAATTACTGTACACCTTAAATTCAACCTTCCAGGTCCTCTAAGTTGTCTGAAGAAGCACCTTCACCCTGGGTTGGATCAGCCGTAATTTGTGACTTCCAGTTAGTAAAGCCACATGAGGGCACAGTCCAGCTGTGTGTCTGTACCTATGGGGCACAGTTTGGGTCCCTTTTTCCTTTACCCTGAGACTTGGATGCTCCTGTACCTCTTCTTGAGCCATCTGTGCAGTGAGGCTGCTGTAGTGCAGTGCAGACGGGGTCCACTTACTCTGAGCTGTTTAAGTTCCACAGCTCAGTCTGAGCTTTGCAACCGCAGGTCTGGCTGCTGCCCAGATGCTACCTTCCAGCAAAGCCCGGCAGTCAAACTGACCTGATCTCTCACCCAGATTTGAACTTGACCATGAGGGCATTCTCCCTCCTCTACTCCAGAGCCACAGAGAGAGAGAGAGGGGAAAAAAAAAAGGAAAGAAGGAAAAGCCATTTTCCAAGTGAGCTACCTCACTCAAGTATTAAATGGTTTCTTTCCATTTAAAGTTAACATGAACTCAATAGATTTGGAGTCCTCACTCTATCAGGACCTTAGTGTTTAAAATGTCCCATGCAAGTGACAACTTCTTTTAAAGAGAAAAGAACTGAGAAAAACTAAGAAAAAGATTCATCAAGTTCTTTGAAATACAAAGACCAACATGATTTTTTCCTTCTCTTGAAAATACATATTTTAACTTATTAAGAGAAATATATATACTAAAGATAAAATGTCTGCTTATTGGTTTAAAGCTATTTGTGCTTCTGAAATATGAGAGCTATGATTTCCTTTGGGAGAGGAAATACAATTTTTAATCAATTCTTTATCTTGTCTACAGCCAAAGTATCTAAAGATATTAGAGTTTATCATTAGAGTTAGCCATAAGATGGTATGCTAACCACTTGGAGCGTATAAGATTTTCAAAGCTATGGGAACAATAAACTAATTCACTGTGAACTGATCTTAGTGGTAAATGTCTCTTTCCATCTTTCAGTGTGTGTGCATATGCATATGGGTTACAGACTCGCTGATTGTTATCTCCTTGGTCTTGCTCAGGTGGATGGAACAGAAGTAACGTGTCAGGTTGATTCATCTCAGAAGTCTGTTACCTGTGATGTGGGCTATCCTGCTTTAAAGAGTGCACAACAGGTACAGCTTGCACGCCATCCTAACATCCACGCTAGCCATGCTTCAGCATCACGTTAATTTACCAGTATAACATCTTCTGGGTTAGACGCTGTCACTTGATAGCAGTCACAAGATAACCAGCTGCATCCTTAGATGAAGTTTCATAATAACTGAATTATTTCTTTGAAATTAATAATAGCAGTGTTTTCTCCTCCATGCAGTTCATGCACAAAGCACACACGAGCAAAGTTCTTTTTTGCCTTGGTATATTGACCAATTTTGGCCACAGTTCCCACGGAATTACAGAAATCACCTGTTAATCTCTGCTACATAAGTTTTATAGTACCACAAGGCTTTACATTTCAACCAGGTATAGGTGGCTGGATAACTTCCAGTTGTCTGCTGAAATTTAAGCTTTTCTAATTTTAAAGGAAGCATGCTAGAGCAAGGTAGACTGAGAGAGATACTCTATGACTTTGAAAGCTTAAGGAAAAAAAAACTTCAGGATCAGATTGGAATGAGTTTGTTTTTATGGGGACTATTTTTCTTTTCCTGGGTAGAAGCATCATAGATTGATGAGTCTTAATTTTGTGTGCAGGTGACATTCACTATCAACTTCGACTTCAACCTTCAGCACCTTCAGAATCAGGCAGCCTTCAGCTTCCAAGCATTCAGGTAAGACAAAATAAAGTCATTCATGATGATCGATGGTTTTTATAATGTTTCACCTTAAGCAATTCCCTAATGTTTTTTTCAATAGTGAAAGTGAGGAAGCAAACAAAGCAGATAATTCAGTCAGCCTCAAAATTCCTCTCCTGTATGATGCTGAAATTCACTTAACCAGGTAAGTGAAGCCTGTTATAAGTAGGTGGCCTATCACCAAGGACACCACACTGGTTTATAGCACATTCAGACCTAGCTAAAGAATGTGTCTTCCCCTGCCAACTAAATCAGAAGTCCACAGACAGGTCACAGCCTAGGAAAACCTTGAGTAACTCTTTAGGTTTGTTGAAAGCAGCATCGAAAGGCAGAGGAAAAATACTTTCCCACTGACCATAGGAAAACTCCCCTCCAGGATCTTGGCAGGGCCACAAACCTTCCCTGGAAGCTGAAACAGACTCAGGGACCCTACTAGTTGTTAGTACTTTCTTCTCACTTCCTGCTGGGCACATGAGATGTCAAGCAGTACCTCTATCTCTGGACACTGAAGCCCGCTGGGGCCTGCTTTGCACACGGGAAGTCTGCAATGAATATTGAATAGAGTCCCACATCACAGAGTCACATATAGAAATTAGATCTGGTCTAGCTTCTGAGTGGAAAATCTCTGACATAACAGATTAGGGTTTTCTTCCCATCAGGAGGAAATGAGGGATTTTCCAGAGGATGTCATGTGTGAAGAACTGCTTTATTCTTTTATCTTGCCTTACCAAAGCAAGTAAACCTGAGAGCAGCAGATAAAATGTTATACAAGTATATGCCAGCTACTGCATTGTTCCCAGCAACGAGTGTCTGAGGAACTGGATTGAGCCCAAATCCCACAGGTGCTAATAGGTTAATAGCAGTTTAGCTCTCCGAAGCGAGGCTGGTTCATGGCACAGGCACACCGGGCACTGCTCTGCAGGTGCACAGGCCACGGGCCGTGCCCACCCAGGGTGGTAACCAGTATTCTTACCCCAGTGAAGCGCCCAGGCTGCTGCCCTGTGCAGATGGGTGGGCCAGAAAAACATGTAGTCATGTTTGCTCAGGCCCAGTGACAAGTAGCTTCGCTATCTCCTACTCCATGATCCCAGCCTCTGAAAGCATTGATTACGTACGTCATCCAATAAATCACCAAGCAAAAACAAAAAGAAAACTATGTCGTCCTGTCTGGGGCCTGAGACATATGAGCAAAGAAGAAAAGAATGTTTCGGTATCAAGTGAATGGCAAATGCGAGAGTGGAAACAAAGTACAGCCCAAGTCACCCATTCCTGAAAAACTCATCAGTGACTGCAGATTTCAAAGTACTCCCGCTTGCTAAGATAACTACTGAAAACAACTTCAGGCACAAAGATTGATATTACTGCATTACCTAAGTAGTTCCTTCTCACTTATATGAATCCTTTCTCTCCCAAACACTTTCGTTAACACTTTTGTCGTTCCACTCTGCCATCTTGGCCAATTTTCCCCCACAGAATTTTAACATAAAATAAACATAAAATTGAAACGGGACTGCACTCTTACTTACTGACATCTAAGCTATGTATTTTTGTGATGGTAATTTGGATTCCAATACACTCCAATGTTTTAAAAAGTATATATTTAAAAATTTAATATAGAGAATTATGAAGAAAAAGCTGAAATGGCTTCTCCTACACATGCATAATTCTCCAGATTTTTTTTTCTTTTCTTTAAAAGAAAAACATTAAATGTACACCACAGATAGAAAATCCAGACATTAAAGAAAGATGCACAACGAAAAGTAAAGTGAGTTCCTCCCTCCTCCCTGGTGATATTCCCCATAGATGACAAATGTGTTTATTTGGGAATATTTTTCAGACATATGGTTGATCTAACTAAGATGTATATACGGACTGCACACATATATGCATGCACACAATTGTGTGCCAACATTTTGTTTACCCAAGAGGAACAATAAAATATTTCTCTATGTTTTGCATTTTATGTAGTCTTAGAGAAATTCTCATATCAGGCCAAACATCTAGCTTAATCTATTCCTGGGTGTTTTATAGTTTATATGGCCCCCCTGATATTAATATGCTGTTGCTTTGCATTTCCATTTGTGTGTTTAGCCATCACAAGCAATAGTGCTAAAAACATTTTTAACAAACATTTTTTCAGACTTTTCAAAAAATGTCATACCCAATGACTGAGCATATCCTTTAGCCACCACTTTGATATTACATACATGTGCACCTATATTGTATGAATAGGATGGTAGAAATAGTGATGGTAGAATTATTTTTATAACAGGATTCCCTCTGAGAACAGCTCACTGCTGCAGCTGCTGTGTATATGTTCAGCACACACACACACACACACACACACACACACACACACACAGTGTTACTTAAGTAATTTAGGGAAAACTTACACAACAAGTGAAAATCATCACCTCTCTTTATAATGCAAAAAGTAGAAAATATTAATCAGTTTAGAAATTGGCCCTGCTTAGGAGCTAACACAAACACATTCTGTAATGCACAGAGAATAATCCATGCATACATAGCCAGAATGCCTATTTCAAAACCTAGTCTGCTTTCCCAATAAACTGTTCATAGAGAATAAACAGAGAGGACATACATAGTACCTGTGAGACTCTTTCTCCTGCTACCTACTCCTCCATACCCCTAAACCCAAAGAAGCTGCCCTGGTTGGAATACAACCTCAGAGCCCCCAAAATGAGTGAGAAAGTGGGAGATGTCATTTCATACCAATGCAAATAGTCTATGGCAGTTCCTTTGACAGAGACATCACTTTGCTTGCAAAAATTAGTTGCCATTTCAAGCAAAGAGGTCCAGATCAGTCCAATGCCTTTAAGTGTAGCCTAATAAAATGTGTGGGTCATCCATCTCCAAGATGGCTCCACTAGTGGTAGACGCCAATTTGAATACTCCAAATTCAGAGCCAAATCATCAGAGTTGGTTTGGAACTAGAAATGGCTAGGAAGAAAGATTAATAAAATAAATGGATGTCCTGTTTCACAGGCATCTAGTAATGAATAATGCAGGAGCTACTACCCAATACCTCATCATTGTATTTCACCTATAGCAAGTGGGAGAACCCTGGCTTATAAATCCATTCATCCCATCCAATCAACAAGTGCCGAGTGTCCACTACATTAAAATACCAGTTAATGGAGCAACCCTGGGAACAGTTTCTCTATGAGTTCTAAAGTAATACGTTTGTGATTAATTTAGAAACTTGACAACTCACAACCATATGACACACAGAATCTCAGCAGAAAGACCATGAAGGGATATATCTTGAATTTATTTCAGTTTTAAAAACTTGTTCTGGACCATAAGACCATAACAATCTTTTGGTTTCATCTACTGCTTTTTAAGACTTTAGTGTTATAACTTCGATAGTACATACATATACATGGCTTTCAGAGCAATAATTCAGTATAGGCATACAATGTATTATAAAATCAGAGGTGGTTGGGCATTTTCATCCATTTAATTTTTTAAAAAAATTTTGATTGACAAAAAATAATTGTACATATTTATAGGATATGGTATGATATTTCAGTACACATATACAATTTCAGTATGTATATATATTATGTGTACTGAACAAATCAGGGTAATTTGCATTCTTTTGTCCTTATCATTACTTTATCTTTGGAGACTTTGAGCTCCTGTCCTCTAATTATTCACAAATATATAATAGGTGATTGTGAACCATAGTAACCTGCATATGCTGTAAAACATCAGAACTTACTACTTCTAGTTGTGTTTTCTCATTCTGTATCCAGCCTCTTAGTACCCTCCCTCCCCACCATCCTTCCCAGCCTCTGATCAGACCAAAAAGACAAATACCTCCTGTTGTCTTTCACGTGAGGAAGCTAAAAAAGTTGATTTTAATGTAGGATAGTCATTACTTTACAAATATCCAACAGATCCACCAACATAAACTTTTATGAAGTTGCCTCAGATGAGAATGTTCCTGCTATCGTGCACAACTTTGAAGAAATTGGCCCAAAATTCATCTTCTCTCTTAAGGTTGGTAAGTCTGTCCTAAGGATGGCAAACTAGGAAAAGAGGAAAAGAAAAAAATGAGTCTGGGAAAAGAAGAAAATAAAATGAAGTAAAAATATACCAGTGGTTCTCACACTTGGGCATGCATTAAATCATCTGGGAGCTTGTTAAAGCACCGATGCTAGCTGCACCCCAGTCAGTGGGTCTGGGATGGGCCTCACGAATTTGTATTTCTAAAAAGCTCCCACGTGGTGCTAATGCTGCTAGGCCACGTGTCGTACTCTGAGAACCAGTGGGGTAGATCACAGAAAAGTAAACAACAGAGTTTGGCAGAGTTATGTGTCCTGGACTAGGTAATATTGAAAAAATATATAGATAGATAGATAGACGTACAATAGTGCTGGGCCTTGAGCCCAGGGCCTTGCACATACTAGGTAAGCACTCAACCACTGAGCTACACCTACAGTCCCAGTATCTAAAAATATTTTTGACTCAAATTCTAATGTCTATGAATAAGTATTAATCTAAAAACAATAATGAATTATGTAAAGGGAAATTCAGTTGTAAAAAATGACTGTTTCATAACATAATAATATTACAGGATCTTCAGAAAGTAAAAAAGAATTCATCCATCACCCTCAGTCAAAATCATTTTATTTTTGTTCCTTCTCTATTAGTCTATTTCCTGGCTATGACCCACAGTTTTGTGATTGTTAAAAACATGAAAGAATCTTGACTTGCTATCCAGATACTGGAGTTTATAAAATATGGTACTCAGTAGCCACATTGTTTAGTAGGACATTTAATTGATTCATAGTAAAAATAAAATAATGTTTATAGAGCATATAATAAGTATCAGACATTGTATCAAGTGCTTTTGTGCCATTTAATTGCCAGATTGGGTGTGAGGGTGGAATTATTATTATTCCTTGTTTAAAAAATTTAACAGCCAGTAAGACATAAACACTGGCCATTTACAGCAAAACCCCTACCAGTGAGGACAGCTGGTATACCAGCACAACCAACTGAATTTCTGATTATCTTTGTTGTATGAATGAGAAAATTAGAGATTGAACCCTTTGCTCAAGCCACACCTCTGATCACTTGTACTTTATAGTTGCCCCTTATCAGCACGGGAACTGCTAATCATGTTCCTTGCATCACTTGCACCATGCAGTGATTCTAGAGCATTTTCTTCCCCACCCAGGTAACAACAGGACTTGTCCCAGTAAGCATGGCATCTGTAAATATCCACATCCCTCAGTACACCAAGGAAAAGAACCCACTCATGTACCTGACTGACATACACACGGACCAGGTAAGAATAACAAGATAGCTTATAAAAATGTGCATTTTCAAGATGGAAATAACTATCTGGGGCAATGGCGTCTGACATGTTATAGATGAAAAACAGCAGATAATGCTTATGCATCCCAGGTACCAGTAACTCACATAATGTCATATTAGAAGCAAGCTATTATTTTAAAAAAGAATGTCTGAGTCTAGATATTTATAGACAGGAAAAATTATATTCTAGAATCCCTCCTGTGGTCAGGTGAAGGTTGAACTTTGTCAGGCCGTGGTCAGGAGAGAAGACTGAGAGTGACAGCTTGAGCCCATGGCGAGAGCACAGTAGGTCTACGCACTGCAGTAGTAACTGGTCTTCAGCCAGCCCAGACTTTCAGCTAGTAACACCCAGCCCTGCCTATTCACTACAGTCACCCTAGGTTCATTTTAAAGAAGAGTGATGCTTTGAACATTGAGTCAGAATTGCTAAAGATAAGATCTTTAACATCAGTGCTTTTCTTTAAAGCTCTCCAGTGGCTCTACCTGGGCCAAGAACCACTTCTCTTCTCAAACCCCTTGCAATTGGCTCACCTTTAGTCTAGCACTGAGCTCATCTTACAGTAGTGTCTTCCTGTAGCGTGCATGGAAGACTAGGAAATTAAAATCCTAAACCATTCCACAGAAAAGAACCTCGAGGGGCTGGGGATTTAGCTCAGCAGCACAGCACCTGCCTGGCAAGCGCAAGGTCATGAGTTCAATTCCCGGTACCGCAGAAAAACTTAAAAAAAAAAAAAAAGAAAAGAACCTCGAATTAGGTCACTCACAGTGTGTTCATATTACAGACTTGTCTTATTATATGTGGGTTTTGTGATAGACCATTTGGCATTCTTACAAGACAAACCTGAGCCTTGATACTTTTCTAAAGGAAAAAGGTTTTTAAAGTTCACAGTTCTAGAGATTTACCTCACAGTCCTAGAGATTCAAGTGCATGATTTCAGCATCACTTCAGCTCTAGTGAGGACCTCATGGTGGATGATAGGAAAAGAAGCTGCATGGGGGTGGAGGGAGGGGAGGAAGAGGAAAGGGAGGGGAGGAAAGGGAAGAAAGAGACAATGACCAAATCAGAAACTAGAGTGGGGCTGGAATGCCTCTGTCCCTTCTAAAGACACACTCCCAGTTAACCTACAGCCCTCCCACTAGGCTCCAAGTATTCAAGGTCCCATTCATACCTCTTAACTCTGTCACCTAGTGACCAAACTTCCAGGGAACCTGTACTACAAAACACATCTAAGCCACAGCAGTCTCTGAAACCTAGCCATTTTGTCATCACATTAGAAGATCTGAATACAATGGTTCATCTCAGTGATCACAGGAGGTGTGGCTATGTCTGCGCTGTGAGAAGAAGCCTAACAGACCCTCCCTCCCTTCCCCTAACAGGTGGGGAAGATTTCCTAACCTAAGAAAAGAACATCATTAAAGCACTTTGCTTCCAAATCTGACTTGGGGTTCTTGTTTTTAGGCTGGTGACATCAGTTGTAATGCAGAAATAAATCCACTGAAACTGGGTCAGACCCCTTCTTCGGTATCTTTCAAGAGAGAAAACTTCCGGCACATGAAAGAATTGGTGAGAACAGGTTAACCATTGAAGTTTCTTGCAGGAGTTTAAGGTTTCTTTTACTTGAAATCAAGGAGCTTGTCTCCAACCAGCTGGTATCACAGAGTTTTCTCATTTTTTGCTTTTGATGGCTTGTATGAATTCAGATTTAGAAAATAGATTCTCAAGCCTAGGCTATTAGAATGATAACTTATGCCAGTACTTGCAAATGAAACGTCCAGAGCTTTTGATATCAAAAGGATACATGTGAAATAACTGTGTGGTGTACTTTAAAACTGTGGCAGAGCTGTGAGGGGACTGGAGATGTGCTGTGGAGATAAAGTCCCTCAATTCTTCCCACAACATAACCGCTGATGATTTTTATTAACTGTTGAACATGCTACCCTCTTTTGCCTCTTAATATCTCATTATCTCCTGTTCCTGAGCTACGCCCTTTAGGGAAAGACATTAGTCTACCATCCTAGCATAGTGCTTGACATATATTTTCATCACATAGCAAGTGTTCAAAGAAGTACACATTTGGTAAACAAGGAACCCTAAATTATCCACAGCTTTCCCTTATCAAACGTACTGAATGATACTCTCCTGGTTTAAACCTTGCATCGCAACTGTTTAATTTTGTGAAGGATAGGAGAGAAGCAGAAAATAAAATTGTGTCTTCATTTAATGGCATTAACGCACTTAGGTATATATGTACCCTGTTACATAAGTGGGCCATAATACCTTTTGTCCTTGGGGATGGGCCAATATAACAGACTTTTTAAAAATACATTTTATTTTTAAGGCAAGTTTAGTTTCACAGCAAAAAGGGGAATCTTCAAAAATTTCCCATCTTGCTCCTCTCCCCACATAATCTTGTCTCCTCCACTGTCCAGAGCTAGAGTGGTACTGTTGTTACTAGGTGAACCAACCTTGGTGTATCACTGTCACGCAAACTCCACAGTTTATCTGAGGGTTTACTGTTGGCATCATAAAAATCCATGCTCTAAATTTTGACAAATATATGACATGTATACAGAATTCTAATTTCATAAAAAGTAGTTTCACTGCCCTCAAATTCTGTGCTTTACCTGTTCATCTCTTCTTCCTTGCAAATCCTGACAACCACTATTCTTTATCTGTCAACTTTTTTTAACCTAAGAAATTCATCTTTATTGCTAGGTTTAATGAATAAATTATAATAATTTTTGTTCATGTCCTTTGACTGATCTAACTAGTACATTGTTGATAAGGTGAGTTACTGTGTTTTGTTATTACTGTTGTTAGTAGTGCAATAAACACAGTTGTATATTTGCTTCACACATTTCTGGTTTTTTATCCTGAAGTTGTCTATACAGATAAGAAATGCCTGGGGGAGTGTGCAAGTTTTGTGACATAGTACCAGAATCCCTTGCAAAAGGGTTATAAAGGCAGTTCCTGAGACTGCTTGTTACCCCTAGATCTTTCCCACTACTGTGTTTTAGTTATCTTTTTAAACTTTTAGCATTTATTTTTTACATCCATGCTAACCCTCTCTTCTTTCACTATTGACTCTAATCTGAAAGGACTGCAGCACTGCTTCCTGTAGCAATGTCATCTGCTGGTTCAAAAACCTTGACATAAAAGGAGAATACTTCATTAATGTGTCTACCCGAATTTGGAACAGGACTTTTGCTGCAGTAAGTATCAGCTTCATTTATTGGACTCATCAGTGACAAGCTTCATTGTCAAAGAGTTTGTACCCTTTGACAAAATAGCGTTCTTGTTGATGTTGGTGGTGGCTGAATAACCCAGAGCAGTTTTACTATAGAAGTCAGTACGCTGCCGTCACCCCTCACCGCTTGCCGGTCTGTGCCTCAGAATCAGTGGGGAGCTCATGAGAAAGTCTGCTTCTTAAGGACTCCATGCCAGCCTTTAATATCTCAGGAATGGTTGACAAAGTCGCCTCTGCTACCCTCTGCTACAAATGTCATCTGCTTTGTTCTCCCACCAAGACCTCACATTTCCTTCCTCCAGGTCTTCTCTACCACACCCCCATCAAGGTGTAGGTGTTGCTGTGCCTCCGGTTGAGGTCACAGCCAATTGTTGGATGGATCTCAAACTACCCAGGAGACAAATCCAGCAAAAGGATTGTCTTTTTTCTTGTTGCTGAGACAAAATAGGTTACTTTTTTCTTGTTACTGAGACGAAAAGGGTTACTTTTTTCTTGTTGCTGAGACAAAATACCTGACACCAAAAATGAAGGAAGAAAAGGTTTATTTAGCTTACAGTTCATGGAGGTTTCAGTCCATATTTGGCTGGCTCTGAGGGCTACTGTTTATGCCGGCAGAAAACAGCAAAGCAACAAAAGCAAAAAGGAGGAATGGCCACAAGCAGCCTCTTTCCTCCCTTACATCCTAAACCGGCCACCTCCACCCAGGGAATGTGTAGCACTCACATAGTGCCCTCCTCTTCCGCAGGCTCAGGATGTATACAAAGTAAGCACCCTGGCTCCCTGCTGAGTCACTTAGTCAAACCTCTAGACTCAAGTTGACACAGTGTATCAACTATAACAAGGATCTGTTTTCCTGTTTAGCCATAACCCTCTTCTCTATTGCTTTCCCTTTCCTCTGATGAGAACAGTCAGCACACAACTTGTAAGTCATTTCAATGCCTATGAAAAATTTGAAGAAAGTGCTAAACAATGTCAGTGTTGTTTTTCTGTTGGGCAGGTGTGTGGCTACTGTAGCAGTATTTCAGTAGGGATTTGCCTAACCAGAATTGCAGTCTGGTGTGAAAAATATGCAGATTGACAGGCCTCCTTCAACCTGACGCTTCAGTGACTAGCCATCCCTTTTGCTCACACTGGCTTTGATTGAGGTGGTAAAATATAACTTAGTCTGAAACCTCTTGGGGAGTGTGCAGTTTTTACTTTCTTGTTTTCTTCTTTTTTCTAAACAAATGGATCAGTTCCAGGGGTGCTTAAAAGAGGGTTCTACTTCCTACTTCTCATGACTTTTCCAATAACCACCATTCTTTGTTATGGAGTTTTGTGCAAGATTAGAGGACTGAGAGCCTTTGTAACTTTTCCCTGGAGCCAAAATATGAGCAATATTTTTTTATGAAGACGCAATTAAAATAAAGGAGTGGTGAAAGGTTAGAAAAAAAATAGAGAATTGGAGGCATGAGGAAATGAGGAGCATGGTTTTCTGTTGTGCTTATTTTTTTCTTCTTGTTCGCTGCGTTTGTTTCTAGGCCTTGAGAAGACAAGTTCTCCAAGGCGGGCGCCTGCTGTTTGCTGTAGCGCTTTCCCAGCTGCAGCACCTTCGTGCTCAGTTTTACCAATTTGTTTCTGGCTCTGTGGATTTGAGGAACAAGTGTTTTCATAGGAAACTCTGCCAAATGGGAAGGAAAGCTGACTTTTGCACGTCAAAATGCCAGCTCTGTAGAAAGCATTTGATTTTTCTTAAGTGTAGTTCACACTACACCATTTGAACTGTAAGCCGTTTTCAAAGGACCTTTCCAACAGCTTTCAGATGCAGCAGTTTCAGTTCTAGAAGCAAACATAAAGTATATTGCTTATCCGTTCAACATGCTTATGTTGGTTAAACTGAGGAAACACCCAAGGGTCACTGAAGGTCAAGTAGCAAACATCTGCCTTCTTTGAGAAAGGTCACGTTTATCTCCACTTGGTTTTCAGCTGTTTCAACAGCAAAGGAGAGGTTTCTGAGCCCACCTGGGAGATCCAGTCTGAAACTTTATCTCATTTCCTCTCTCAGAGCCCAGTGATGTGCCGCCTTTTCCTGCCATTCTTGTTCTGATGTGGTGCAAGTCAGCTTAACATTTGAAGTAGTTTTATCACAAAGCCTTCCCAATTGAATGGCTACATTTGTAAGAAGCCATGGTGAATGCTAGCAGCCATGCTGCTTGGTTATCCCACATGTGTGGTCTGCCTACCTCTGCTTGTCAAACCTGCAGGATACCATGTACCTGTGAGAAGGGCCTGCTTTTGGAGTGCAGGCATAGCAGTGGTGTATTATATCTTTCAGCTACAGGAGCAATGAAAAAGCTAGCATTCACTCAACTGCTACTTCCCTTTTGTAAAAAACTTAAAGCATTATTGATAGTCTTTATGTTTCCCACATAATATATGTTTAAGGGACCAAGGATGGGGGTTAACTTGTGACGCAATCTTCCATCTTGAGGAGATTAAGAGTAACCAGAGACTCAGCCAGTGTGAAGGAAATAAATTGCTCACTCTTTGGAAATATATTCTCTTTCTGGCTGTTAGATACAGCTTAGCAAATGACCTCATAGAGTGTGTTGAGTCTTGTGCCCTAGTAACCAGAAACACTGAGTCCTAGGAGCCAGAGCATGTGAAAACAGCTCTAAAATCTGAGTTACAGTGAGCCTCAGACCCAATATTTATACTACAGGGACAACAAACACCATGAAGAATATATATCAATAACGTTTCCATTGAAAAGATATTCTTTTCTGTAAATAGACTGAATGTCAGCATAAAATGTATGACCTTTCTATATACCTACTTCATATATCCAGTACTATTTTGTAGAAACACTTAAATTAGGAAACCTGACATTATTCCTGATATGATAAAATATGTCAAAAGAGTTAAGGTGTCTGCTGCGGCCATGCATGGCGAAGTTCAAGTGCACTTTTAATAATATTATGTAAGGCATCTGCACCCCAGAAGAAAACTGTCTTATCTTTTAAGTGTTGATTTTTCCATTTCATTCTGTGATTCATTTAGGTAAGTACATAAAAATACTGCGTGTAATGCCTGTCATATCTTGAACTTTTAAAAAAAATCTTAATTATTATTTTTCCCAATTAAAAACATTTAAACCCTTCTTTTTCAACACTCTTCGAGGTCAAATCACCTAGGGAGAAGTTTTAACTGGCTTATGTCTGAACCTCACACCCAGAGATTTGTTTCTTTTGCAGTGACTGGGCCCAATCATCCGCACATTTTAGAAGTTTTCCAGCGGCTTCTGATGAGCAGGCCTGCTACACAAAGGGTCCTGCTTCACAATTAGCGTTCATTCGTTTGCTCACTACTTTCTACCAGGAAATAAATTATAAACATGGCGGGTTTTCTATGGCTACAATAAAGTATTTTCTTTCCTGTGTGTTCTAGTCCACTTTCCAGACAGTACAGCTGACAGCAACTGCGGAAATCGATACCTATAATCCTCAAATATATGTGATCGAAGAGAACACTGTCACGGTGAGTGTATCATATCTTTCCCCCCAAAAGGCTTTCTGTGTCTACACATGCAGATAATCACTTTTTTTTTTTTTTTACCCCCATGGATATGGAAGTATCTTACTGAAACTCTGCGAATCTGACATCTCCTGTGTTCAGCTTTAGCAAGGGCATTTGCTATTTAGAAAGTTCAGTGATACAATTGCCCTCCTTCGGGCCCCACTGCTGGCCTTCCAAGAAGTGTGATCCAAAGGAAGGCTCAACAAAAGCGCTTTGTTTTGTCAGGGATGCCCTGTGCCCCTTCTCCAACCTTGCACCAGCTCTACTGCTCTCTCTCCTATGCTTATATGAAACCATCTACATTATAGGCCATAACATCTAAGTTATGACTATTTAAATCATAAATTGCATTGAAGAGTATTTTTAAGAAGTCCAGAAGCATGCCTAATAAGTTAGCCATTTATTATTGAAGGATTTTTGAAAACATAGTACATCTTACAACCAGACTGATACAGTGTGGCAAGTTCATTCATGGTCTTATATTCTAAAAAACTATAATGAGCCCCTTTATAGAAATGGCCCTTCAGAGAAGTGTGCTTTCACAGAAAACAAAGCTTTTCTGTTCCAGAAGCTGGCACAGACAACTCTCATTCACGCTGAGACTCTGGTTAGCATATGCCGTTTTTAGATACCGTCCAGTGGGACTTCCATGCCTAGCTAATCTGCTGGCAGAGCCCTCGGCATTTTCCTCTCGAAGCTTTTGTTCCAAGTTGGATGTGAGTTCATGACTCTGTCCCCAAGTTCAGCTGGGCAGTTGGCCTCTGTCCGCAGCTCCAGCCCACAGACTTGCTCAAAAGACCAATGTCCCTGTGAATGCCATGCCTCGCTCAGTGCCTGAGAACACAGCTCACAGCACTGCCATCCCACTCTTGTCCCAGGGAAAATGAATCCACACAACAGACAAAGCTTTTCTGCCTCTGGCTTAGGAAACTCCGTGAAAGCTCATGGCCTGTCTTCAGAGGCTGGCATGGAAAGTCAGACACGGAGCCAAGGGAAATGCAGACTTTGAATTTGAACTGCTCTGAGCTTCGCCCAGGGAAGAAAGCACTTACGTTTTTGTTAAAAGTTCACTTTAGAACAATGCAGCTTTCAAAAAAATATGTAAAACTTGGTTATAGACTCTGCTTTTTAGAAAGCAAGCATCCACATATTCAATGAGAATTCCAATGAACAATTTTCATGAACCTGATATATTTTTTTCCTTGATTTTCTCTGAGCAGTACTAATAAACAACAGAAGCCAACTCTTATTTAATTGCATCTATGAAAATATTTTCTGATTCCAAACAGTAATTTGGATAATTTTTTGAATACTGTTTGAATCTACATAATAAAGTGACATTTTCTTATAGGAAGGAAAATAGTTACCTTTATTTCAATGCTGGGCCCACTTAAAAGTCTGACAAACCAAATTTTATACTTGTGACTCCAGAGAGATCCAGGGACCCAGATTGGGAATCTCTGGAAGAGAGAGAAGCAGGCGTACAACTGCAGTAAAGAAAAAATGATATGAATTTAAAGCAACTTTATTCACAAACTTGAAAAAATTATTTTAGTTTTTGAAGATCTTAATGATGAGAAATAAAGTCAGCAGGCCAGCTTCCAGCTTAGCTCAACCGATAAATTGTGTGAAACGAAGCTGCTCATTTGTCGCTGAAATTTAACATTGTCAAGTAAGTAGGAGATTGTGCTCTCCTTTTGCTTTAAAATCTAGCTCTTTAAGAATATCTTTTGAAGGAAATGATCGAGACTCTTTCCCAAACTACAGGAAAAAAAAAGAGAGAGAGAACAGACAGTGTTGCTATTAAAACTCTTAGGGCAGCCATCCCATCAGAGCACCACAAAGGCTGCAGGAAGTGGGCATGAAAAGACGTAAACATCCTCAAAACAAGCTCCTCACTTTTGAAAAGGTCAGCTTGAGCCTTGAGATAGTATTTCTACTTTCCAGCAGTTGATACCAACCTGCGATGAGACTTAAGAGAAGTTGCTGGGGCAAGAAGTAGCTCAGCGGCACAAGCACCTGCCTAGCCAGTGCAAGGTCCTGAGTTCGATTACCAGCACCGAAAGAAAGAAAGAAAAAAAAAACCCGAGAGAGAGACAGAGAGAGAGAGAGGGAGAGAGGAGAGAGAGAGAGAGAGAGAGAAAGAGGGAGAGAGACAGAGACAGAGAGAGAGAGGAGAGAGAGAGAGAAAGAGGGAGAGAGAGAGAGACAGAGAGAGGAGAGAGAGAGAGAGAAAGAGAGAGAGAGGAGAAAGAGAGAGAGAGAGAGACAGAGACAGAGACAGAGACGGAGACGGAGAGAAACCCCTGAGGTCCTTATTTTACAAATAGGTAAAGCATCTAGGATTGTCAGGCAGGACAGAGATATAAAATACTAATGCAATTGAGGAGAAAAACCTGGCAAATATGTATTATCTAGATTTTGCAGTATTTTTCTCAAAAAGTTTTTCTGTATAATGCTTGCCGTCATGAGGAATCGTATCACCTTTCTAGAGGTGGGATGTTTGCTTATAGAATTGCAGAATTGAATGATACTCTCACTTAGTTTAGTGTAAAAATTTGATAACTGAGTTATGAATATGTATTTTCAGATTCCTCTTATGATAATGAAACCCAACGAGAAAGCAGAAGTGCCAACAGGAGTTATAGCAGGAAGTATAATTGCTGGGATTCTTTTGCTCTTAGCTCTGGTTTCTGTCTTATGGAAGGTAAGAAACAGTTCCCATTTTAAAATGCAGGGTTCCTGAGGGCCTGTCATAAATTCTCTTACAAAACAGCAATTTTAAATATTATATGGTACTCCTCTACTACAGGGGAAATATAAATTTGTTTACAATTTTTCATGCATGTCTTTGGAAGCCTATTAGGATTTTCTTTTCTAAAAAGAGAAGTGTGCTTTTCTTCTAGGGCCCTGAACATTTTATTTTGCTATTATTTTATTAACATTTTATTTTGCTATTATTAGACACCAGGAGGCTGAAGTAGGAGGACCCCAAGTTCATGAGCAGCCTAGGAAACTTAGTGCGACCCTGTCTCAAAATGAAATCAAGTCTAGGCGTGTAGCTCAGTGGCAGAGTACTTGCTTAGTATGTGTGAGGCCTTGAGTTCAATCCCCAGCACTTTAATAAAAAAAAAAAAAGAAGAAAGCAGAAATTTATCTTTATGCAACTTTGAACCCTCTGGTTATAAATTTCCCCACTAAAAGAGTGACAGATAAAGGTTTAGCATCTGCTTATGACTCTTTCCAGAGCCTCAGGGATTCCCATAGGTGCCTCAGAAACAGTGGGCAGCAAAGAAGGTCAGAGTTATCAGACCAAGCAAGTCATGGTATAACATCATCTTTTAGTTGTGTACATGTATTGGGTGTAGTGTGATAGGACTGCATATGATTCATGCACTCGTTAAGCAATGCTCAAATCAGGATAATCATCATATACAAAAAGTGGTAACATTGTATATCATCATCTTCACAGCTGGGCTTCTTCAAAAGAAAGTATGAGAAAATGATGAAGAATCCAGATGAGATGGATGAAACCACAGAACTCCACAGCTGAGCCAACCAGCAGGCAAGCTCCTCACACTGGGAACTGTCAGCGTCTGGGATATGCTATTGTCACGAATGGATCTTTTTTTAAGTCCAAGTTTTTCACTAATAGGTAGATGAGCCTGATATTTTAAGAGAAACTGCTGTCAGTTTGGAATGAAGAAATTGTGAGTGAGGATTAGGGGTAAAAATGGCAAAAGACATTTTTTACAGAGAAGAAAAAAGTAACACTTAAACTGGCTGGTCCAGAGTTTACATTCTAATGTATTATGTTGGAAACAAAATATTTCCAGGTATACAAGTCTTAAAGTTGTAACACTTTCTCAGATTTTGGGGGTGGGAAATGCTTTCTTTAAACCGATTGATTTAAACAGCAAAACCAAAGGTATATATGTAATAATATATACCATACATAAATATTAATATATATCACATATAATTATGTACAAGTTTTATAATATGCATAATCTGTGTATTATAGAATACATATTAATTATACATAATACACATTACATAAAATGTGTATTATGATGGATATTTCCACATATATATAAAATTATCATGAGTAATGTTAAAAAGAGTGGACAAAACTAGCACAGGTTGTTTTTCAACTTATGCTGTTCATCTAAATTTGCAACACAGTGTCCTTTCAAGTGATAATTTTATTTATAACTAGTGAAAATTTGTTACTCCTTCTCTTGGCCCATGGCTGTCTCTTCAGATTCCTACCTTGCTATAATTGTTAAAACATGCTTAAAGCGGCATAGACAATAACCTCCTACTAAGGATACCTCCTACTAAAGAATCTCCATTTAAACTGGGGAGGGTTGGTTTAGAAGCCAAGGAACAAAATTTTGCTTATATCCCATACTATAACAAATATATGGTAAAATCCTATCTGCTGGAAGCCCAGGGAAGCGAAGAAACTTCCTTTAATGATGCACAACAGTTCTGTTTTAGGACTTGATTAGCTGGCTGGCAGCAATTTGGTGAATATTTAAAAGATGAGTAAATTCTTTGCAACTTTTCTGCTCCTTTGTGGAGTCACTCTCTCATGGTCCCGCTGCTCCTGTGTGACAGAAGCCTCCCAGCCTGCCTTCTTCTCCAGGGCTTATCATCCACCTTCCTTTACCTTCATCCAACTCTCCCACACCTGAGAGGTGCTGGGCTGAAAAAGCCATCTAATTCACACACCTGTGAATTACACACCTGTGTGGATTACCGTGTACAGGCCTTAACTTCAGGAGGCCAATTTTGTTTACTGCGAAACAAGAAAATGAGCCGAGGCAAATATGTCAATGTTGGAATTTCAGATGGTACAGACAGCTAAGCTACAACATAAGCTTAGCACTCGCAAGAAGTTATGGATGAGGCATCAGGAACCATAAAATTAGCAGGTGCATCTGCTGTGCTTGTTTCTAGAAGACTGAATTTCATCCAGGCAAGTCTGTTTAAGAGGTCAATTCTTCTGCTCCAACTCCTGAGATTTGCTGGTCAGATTGGGATGAAGCCCCCTAATTTGCATTTTGACAAGCACCCAACATTATGCAGTAAGCAGACGCACTTTGAGGGACATCACCATTTCCTACTTTCTTTTCTCCATTTTGGAGCCTCCACTTCTCCAGGGATAACTCTGAGGGAAAGGGCATGGGAAAGGGCAACAAGGACCACTCATGTGGGGACACTGTATACCTAAAGCTTTGGATAAGTCCTCAAATTCTATGAACTTCAGTGTCCTCATTATACAGCGGGGAGACGAGGTTGGAGCTCAGGAGTGACGCTTTTAGCTTTACAAGTTTATGACCTAGATTTCCGATAGTACAGACAATCCTCTGAGAATGGGACTTGAAGAAGCTATCAGCCAGGGATATAGCTCAGCGGCACAAGCACCTGCCTGTCAAGGGCAAGGTCCTGAGTTCGATCCCCGGCACAAAAAAAAAAAAAAAAAAAAGAAGCTATCAGAGGAGAATGGAATCTGCCCATGTGTCTATGCATGGACTTGACCGCAGTGCTGGCCCGGCCCCTGAGTGAGCATACAGGGCTACCCGGACAAAGCAAGACAAAACAGCCATAAAATACCAGGGGTTTATAACAAAAACAGCATGGTATTTTCTCTAGTTAGGTGAGCCAGAGACCAATTCTTTTCACAGCTGTGGATTCACTGTTTCATTCCAACAAAATTTCTATTTAAAAAAAAAACAGGTGGAAAGACTAGACACTACATTGATAAAGACTATTTAATAAACTGTGTAACTACTGCTAGTTTTTCAGTGTACTTTACACAACACATCTTTTCTTTTATTTTATTCTGCCTCACCTTGCTTAGATAAGTAGTAAACCAAGGTCACATACTTCATACGTTGAGCTTGAGAACTTTGGTTGTCCTTGGCCTGTATTACACTGTTTCCATGGAGCAGCTGGATTGCTGCAGCTGAAGAGTTAGTCACTTGTTTCCAAACCATTTATCACACCAGGGGAGGGCTTTCCTACCCTGACATTAGGGTCAGGTGGTTTTGTTGGGGGAAGAGGGCAGAATACTGTCTAGCAGCATCCTGGCCTCTATCTAATGGATGCCAGGTAGCATCCTCTTGTCAGTCATGACAATAATAAATACCTCCAGACATTGCCAAATGAAATACTCCCAGTAGGAGTATTTCCCAAGCACTTTTAAGCAACGTATTCATACAAAAAATTAAAAAATTACACGTTTCTCAAGTTATATGTTTCATTCAACCATACTTTTGTTTTAAAAGTGAGTATTGGGCTTTAAACATATAATTTCCATTTCATAAATGGTATATAGATAAGGTGTATAGAATATGAATATAAACTTTGAACTGCTTCAGGCATGGCTGCCATACAGGCCTTAAACAGTGGTGAGAGAGCTTGATGAAGACACAGCACTGAGATTGAAAATTGTGCATTACTCATTTTAGCAGCAAATTGAGAATTCCTAGCTGTACACTTTTCTAGCTGTCAGTGTTATTTTTACAAAATAATGCAAGTCATCCATTAACTATGAAGAGCAAAGAAAACTAAAGCCAATTACGTCACATGAGTGGTAACACTGAAAGCTATTTTAAAAGGTGTAATTTTTACTGTATTTATCCTGATAAAGTGTAACCTAATGGGTGAAAATTTTATAAATTTAGACATAATTAAAAAGGCAGGATTACTCAAACAGCTTCCTGACATATCTAGGATATTTGAATTAGCACACATATAACAGTTGTACACATTACGTTTTAGGACTATGTCCAGCATACCCATTTTAATCCATTTAATACCCATTTTAATGAAAAATTAACTTAAGTATCTAGAGGTAAAAGATAAACATGGGGTCAAAGTTTGAAACAAATGAAAATATTAAATAGTAATTTTAAAGAAAAATGTAACCATTGTGTAAATATAAAAAGAATTATGTATACTTGATTTATTTTGGCAGATAAAGTTATAATATAAATGTATATATTGCACAACTATGTTAGAAATTGTGTATTTTTAAAAAAAATTGTCTTGTTTTCTTCGTAACTAATGCACAGGTCTCAGATATCAAATTTGCTTTTTTTGTGTTTTACCTTTTCCTCTCCACTAAAAGTATAAAAATGAATGTATGTCTGTCTGTACAAGCTGCACAGCCCCCTCAATTTCTAAGAAACGAAAATCAGACTGGAATAGTAATCAAACCAGATTAATAGCTTTTCTCATAAGAGCCAAACAGAAAATTTTTATTTAAGTGTAAATCACTTTACGTACAACATTATTGAGTTAAAATTGCCTTGAAAATAAAGCTATTTTCTCTGCGTGTGGATTTTTACAAGTTGTGCATTTCACCATATATGTCTTCTAATGGCTTTATTTGGCTTCAGAACACATTTGAAGTTTCACTTCAGAGGCTTAAGGATGTAACTAGCCATAGGGTGGGTCTGGCAAGAAAAAAAATCAGGCTAACTGCTACCAGATGCACAAGCCTGGTTAATAAACACAGGTTTTTAAAAAAATGTAAGTGGGGGGCGGGTCTAAATATTTAAAAAATTAGATGCGTTGAAATGAATATAGGGAGGAATGAAAAGGTACGTGTTGGGATCACACACTCACCGCTGTACAGCTGGCGGACTCCTGCAAAGCTGAACGAACGTGTGTGCACTGCATTCGGGTCAATGCACCGGCTCCACCTCACGCTCCTCTCTGCCCCCCTGGCCATCTCAGGGCAGCAACCACCTGTGTTTTGGGTACATACTGCACACTAAAATACAACCTGGAGTGCTTGCTTTGGAAGCACATATACTAAAATACAACCTAGAGCTGGGCAGACTTTAGGAGGCTAAAGCAAGAGGATTGCAAGTTCGAGCCGAGCCTGAGCAACTTAGCAACTTAGTGAGACCCTTTCTCAACATTTTAAAAAAAAGAGCTAGGGCTGTAGCTCGGTGTAAAGACCCTGGATTTATTCTCCAAAATGCAGGAATAATGTTGGAAAACAAAAAGATCATTAGTTGCTTTGTTTTCACAAAGCAATTTAGGAAATGCTGCTAAGCAACTCTATTAAAGCTATCATTTTGCTCCATGTAGTTAATCGGAAAATAATTGTTTATTCACTTTTTTAAAGGCAGTTCATTTCTTAAATTTTTATATCACATTTTAAAACCTACAAACAGCCTTAAAAATTCCTCTCACTATGACCCGCTAGTATTTTAAAGTAAGACAACAGTTAAAGATTGGGTATCTTCTTATGCAAAACTTGGGTCTAATTTTCGTTTAAGGGCTGTGCCAGATTTATTTTAAACTGCTACTAAACTTTTTTTTTTTTTTAGTACCTGGAATTGAACTCAGGCCTTTGCACTTGCCAGGTAGACTGTGTGCCACTGAGGTATATTCCCAGCCCCTAAACTTTTTGTTCTGTGAAAACCGCACCCCCCAAAAAACACGGAAGTTGTTCTTACTATAGCCCTGACTCTACTGCCCTCTGCTGGATAACGCGACTAACTACAGCACAAATCAATACCTTTAGGAACATAAAGTTCAGTGAAATGCCATAGGACGGAAGTAGGGAAGAGAGTGGAGGACAAAGGTTGTAGCTGTGAATTATTTATTTACCCAGATGCTTTTTCACATCTGTGAGTGCTACAGCTACACATGTCAGGTGTGTTTATTTTGGGACAGAACTGTAACAGCAACAGCACTGGTAATTCATTCAACAAAGACGCAGGATTCCAGTTTTGGAGTGAGTACTGAGAGAAGGTAACACTTAATCAGGGACCGAAATAAAGAGGGGAAGCACACCCTGGGGATGTCTGAAAGGCAGATCAAGGCTGTGAAAGGCAGGAGCAACCTGCCAGCACCTGCCAGAACAAAGCAGAAGCCGGGAAGGAGACAGGCGAGGGCCCACTGGTTGGCACGGCAGGCTGAGTGAGCAATGTGAGGTCCCAGGATGTGATCAGCTCTACAAAGGTCCAAGGAGAACAAGAAAGACAGGCTGGAGAGGGGGAGGGGAGCGGGAGGCAGCAGTCCACGTGGACGGGAAGAGGCAGTAAAGTGTCTAGACTCAAGTTCTATCCACGAATCTGTTTTCTAATTCTCTAACACGTTCATTTCCAGGAATCTGAAACCAAGACCCAAACTACTGACTTCTTAATTACCACTTTATTAAAAAAAGAAACCTGGAACTATATTGACTCTAAACATCATATCCAAAAGACGACAATATCTACAGAATACTTCACTCATTGAACATCCGCTGTTACTTTCATTTGAACAGGATAAAACCTTTTCCATTTTGCTACCTGTTCAAAAGTACTTGAAGCATGAATATGAAATTCCTACTTCTTTTTTTTTTTTTTTTGGTTTTTTGGTTTTTTCTCCGGTACCAGGAACCGAACTCACGACCTTGCGCTTGCCAGGCAGGCGCTTTTGCCGCTGAGCTAAATCCCCAGCCCCTAAATTCCTACTTCTTAAGTGAACTCTTCTGGCAGTCATACTAAAAGTTCAGTCACAATCCGAAGTGACCTGAGAACTTGCCCTTGAGAACTTGCAGGCAACCTGCTTAAAGGATGATTCTTTATTCATTCATTTACTTATTATTTATTTATTTTAGGGTTACTGCTCCAATTACTCAGGCAGCCAAGCTGCAAAGGCTGCATATCAGAGTGATCCAGTCCTTGCTATCTCAACTACCAGTTAACTCAGTGATTCCAAAGAAAGTGAGAATTAATGTAGATCCTACTTTAGATGGGGCAGTGCACTACAATCTCTGAAGGATGTCCCATCTTAGTTCCAGCATGCCCCAGATGAAATCCTTCACCTCTTTGTTGGAGGCTTAAAAGCAAAATAGTCTGGGTCCCAAACTTACAATAAAATCTACCAGATGATGACATGATTCTTTAAAAACATGTTTAAAGAATGCTCTATGTTCTTTAAAAACAGAATTACTCTTAATAAAGACCCGCTAAAAATATTTGAGAACAAAAACCTTGAAATCTATTTACAGCTCATATAAATAGTATATAAAACACACATTCCTTACTAAGGAATCGCTTATTAACAACTGAAATAGCCCATGAATTTAATGTGCATTCTGACATGACACACTGGCTGCCCCACGCCCAGCCTGACCCCCAGTGGGGACAGGCTAACGGCCAGGGAAAGAAGAGGAAGGCACTGAATGGGGAGGTAAGGCTGAAACTCCTGCCTCAGGAAGAGGAGTCCAGGAGGGTGTGTCTGCCTTCCCAACCCTCTCCTGCCCCAGGCCCTTTGCACCGGCCAAGGGCAGGCCCCAAAGAACCAGGAGATTCCTAAAGCCAGCACGGCTGTGCTGCAGCCCCTACTCAGAGACAGGGCACACAATCTTCCTCGATGTGTCTTCCTCGATGGAAGACAAGGAGAACTGTGCACGCAGAACAAGCATTCAAAAAGTATTTGTTGAATTCTGCAGGTAAAAAAATGTTATCTTCAGGTCTAACAGAATCACTAGGTTTACAGCTGAAAAACCAGCAACAACTTTTAATTCTAAATATTAGTCTTTGTTCTTTATACAAGGTTCATTTTGTGCTGCTGATTATCCAAATTATGGAAATATTTTATTACCTTAAGAATTATATGTGTACACTTGAAATCTGCTAAGAGAGTCTCATCCAATGAGTATTCACTCAGTATTCTCATCCAAAAACAAAACAAAGTACTGTATGGGAGGACGTGTACGATAATTACTGGGATTCTGGTAATCACCTCACCACACATCTATCAAGTGTAACCAGCTCTCTCTGGGTTCTTGTCCTGAGGGCAACAAAGACAGGACAGGACAGCATGCAGCGGGACCGGAACGGGGTGCGGCTTATTAGAAAGAATAAAGGACAGCCAGCAGTAGATGAGGGGGACACCAAGGCTCGAATTGGACACTTATGCACAGCTTTTTGTCCCACATGTGCGTGAAAGGGCACGACTGCTACAGGATGCCAGGTCTGTCGTCATCACCAGATTTGGTCGGTCCTTTTCCTCTGCGCTCTCATTTAATGTGCATTCAGGTTTATCTTACCTTACCTTTAATTTACTCAGAACCTCATACTTTGTCCCTTTATCTCCTTTCAAAAATACCACACTGTAGTCCTTAAATACATATAATTTTTATTTGTCAAATATACTTCAATAGGCTGATAACATTTTTATTAAAAAGAACAAGACTCAAATCTATCAAGGGAGTATACAGGCTGATCAACCAAAAACTGTATCATTTAATATAAAAAGTCTTACAGAAATTTTATTTTTTAACGATTTCATTAATAATGTTGCACAACTATCCAGAAAAATACCTTCAAATACTTTAGAAATCATATAACTTTGCTAATATTGATTTCCTTAATATAATTTCCCTTAACACATATGTGTTACATTTTAAACATTAAATAACATTTTAGCACAAAGCACATTGTTCTTAACAATTTTATGCTGACTTGTACACTGATTAATAACTAATAAAATACGAAAAGTATGAGGGTACAGTCACAGGCTCTATTAGAGATCTCCATATTTTAGATTTACCACTAAATTTTAAAAAACAGGCATATACTATTTTTAGGCTTCTAAATCATGGAGTTAGTTTATTTTTTTAAATATGTAAATTCTGAAAATACATAACACACAATATCAAAGTTGCCTGGTAGTGACTTTCCAGTTCAGCCAACATTTCCTCACACACCCGATAATAACACTATTAATGTGTGGCGGCCGGGGGCCAGCGGTGTCTCTCTGAAACAGCTCGTTAGTGAGAATGGCCACACTTTAATGGGAGTTGAGGTACAACTAGAAATCAGTCATGGAAGGGTGTGTCCACCACAGATATCTTTCCCCTTTTTTAAATTAGCTTACTTCTTCCCCAGCTCTAGTTCCTAGACCCGTATTCTCCAGAACCATTATTTTGCCTTCTTTTTCCTCCCATTTGTCCCACTGGTAAAACCTGAGATTGTGCTTCACTAAACTATCTTTTCTGTAGAATAAAAATCAAAAAGTGATCCATATGAAAATTTACCAAATTTAAGATTTAATGTTCTAAAATATGTGATTCATCAGTGGTTGTCCAAAAACATTCTTTATTTCTTTTCCACGCTGAGGAAGATTCTTCATATATTTCCTGAAAAGCAGAACCGTAACAGGTATTCAGAAGAGGCAATTTTAATAAATGAAAATAAAATACCTGAATAAATCAGGCAATTAATTCCACATATATTTCAATTTGCTCATTTCAACAATCTAGTCAATACCGATAATTACATGAGGCACCGAGAGCAAAGAGATGAATAAACATACTCCCTTCACATAAGGGCTCCAGCTTCAACTGGGGAAATGACAGCCCTCTCCTCGAGGGAGCGGAATCCAAATTTAACTGAGCTTGTCTAATTCCAGGCTTTCTTTTTGATGTTTTTGTAATGATTTCAATCCCTTTGTTAAACTTCTCTGGTCGATTGCTGTACTACATTTGAGTCCTCTGGAGTTTGCTAAGTTTTCTCAAAATAACCATGTTGAATTTTTGGCATGAAAGGGCTCCCACCTCCACCCAGTGAAAACAAGTCACCGGCGCCTCGTTTGCTCCACTGCTTGAGATCCCTGCTAACTGTTCTCTCTGGATGCTTAAGGACTCACACCTCTGAACACCTGCACCTGTTCCTACCCGCTACAGACAGACAAGCAAGTAGAAAGCCCAGCTAGTCCTGAAGCAGAAAAAATGAGAGTATGCCCAACTGCTACCCTGCCCCGTGTTTTCTGGGGCTACCCTCTCACAGCTACTTTGCCAGCTATCTCTTCTTTTCTCCATGGTAAAGAGAAAAGCATATAACTTCAAGCACACAGGCTTGAAGCTCATTTTGGAGTGCTCCTCCCACCTTTCCCTCTTCCAGGTCATGCCTCAGGGGGTATCAACATTGTGGCTGCCTTGTTCACAGCAAAACAACCTTACAACTGAGCTCTACTAAGCTCCCCACCCTCTAAAATCTGAAACCTAAGGAGTTGCAGACACTATTCAGAAAGCACGGTCAATACATTTCTTGAGCCCTGCTTTATCCTTCTCACTCATCTCTCCCACTGCCTGAGGCAGAGACTCAGGGAAGGACACAAGCCTCAGCCTTTGCTGCCCCGGCCTGCTCTGCTCCGCTGATCCACTGCGCTGTGCACTTATTTCCCCAACTCCCCAACAGCCGCAATGCTGCGGGCGGTTCTGGACTTAGACATGTTACATCTACACATGCAGAGAAACGCTACTGTTCATGCTGATAACCGGGGGTCACGGGGGGGAATGAAAGCAGCTCAGCCCTTCAGAATGCTCCACTTCAATCACAGAATTACTTATTCTTGCTTGGTCTTCACTTAGTAACAAAAACAAGCCAGAACTTCCTATGTACGTTTTAAAATCCATTCACTATGCATTTTTTCCGAGTCAGTAACTATCCTCTTTTTTTCCTCTTTAAAAAGAAAGTAGTCAAAGGCTTTTTCTACCTTACGGAATTTCTATTTTAGCCACTGGTTAAGTAGCCAGGTGTTAGTCCCATTTTCTCAAAGAAAGACCCTCTAACGGAAAAGAACTCTTAATTCAAGGGATATGACTTTATCCATGAACCAATGGAATAGTCCAGACTAGGAATTCGAACCGCTACCACTTGTTGAGACCTACTCTGTGCCACAGCTTCTGTGGGACATGAACTTTTTAACACACTTGTGAAGAACTTCCTACATAAATGCTGTATTTCACATATACAGATAACAAGACTCTGTATGAAGAAAGTCCCACAAGTACAAATTCTGCACGTGCTCGTATTCTCTGCCCTTCATTTAAGAACTCCGGAGAAAAAGCATGTCCACACGGCAACATGAGATCTTTTTCTTAACTTACCTTTTTCCAGATGGGCACTTTGGCTTTTAAAGTGTCGATGGCATAGCTCACAGCTGCTAGAGATGCAGCCCTGTGGGCTGAGGACACGGCAATAACTATGCTTGCTTCTGATACTGGAACCAAGCTTTAAGAAGATACAGAAAACAATTACTATCCCCTCCTAATCTACAAGTTAAAGAATCTGCTAGAAAAGCAGGAAGAAAAATCCCAGTCACATATCAGGACTATATTATAGATCTTTTTTACTTAAACAACCAGTTTAGTAAGAAAACAGAAAATCATCCCAGCTGCATGCAGCCAAGGGGATCCCAAAGCTGATTGGCCAATTTGCCTGCATTTAACCACAAATGCTCTTTGGTTAGGACCAAGAAGAAAGGTCCTTCGGCTGATTCAGCCAACATTTCTTTCAAACAAGCAAGGCACAGTGCCAGGTAATTCCTACAGGTACATAGTTATTGCATAAGTATAACACAGAATTTAAAATAATAAATAGTAATAAGTAACAGAACTGACAATACTCATTAATAAAATTACTGGTTACTAATAAAATACTGGTTATTACTAAAATTAGAGATGTAACAAAATAATAACTAATATGACAGAAGTTGTCTTAATTGCTATCTTTTAAAGTCTGTAACTATACTCTTTTTAGTGGTACTTTAATGACCTCAAATTTTCAACAGACTCATAAAAAACAGTTCAAAGCACAAAACAACTCTCAAAAGGCCTCAAGGACTTTAGCAAACCTTCCCACAGGTACTTAGGTCCAGGGCTGGAGAATCTGCACATTTGCACCCTGCTACAACAAAAGAGGCAGCAAGGACCATCCCAAAGTTACACCCCAACAACCATCTCCACTGTCCACCAAAACAATACACAAACCTTGCACTCCAAGGAACACAGAATTCCTAAGAAAGAGTCCAGCATTCATACAGAGATGGAAAACAACTATACTTAACTTTCAGATTGGTAAAGAAAATCATACCCAAGTCTATGGAACACTGCTATGTGTTTTACTGGCCACTTCTGCCTAATGTCACTACAAATTTTTCTGATTTCATTTTCCGCCATTGGAATATATGCTTCATATTCTAAACTAATGACTTTTTTTCCTTCAAAGTTATTTCTTGTAGTCCCTAAAAAAAAGAAAAACACAAAAAAACCCACAAAATTAAAATAAAATTTCCCTAATTTAGAAAGAGCACATTAACAGAACAAAAAACAAATGCTTGTTTAAAAATAACTTTGAAATTTTCCAAACACAGACCTTGATTAAGAAAACAAAAGCTAATTATCCCAAAGTTGATAAGGAAATAAACACTGATTAACCAAGCTTACTGAAAACACTCAGATGATAAAACAAACTGTATTCCTTTTCTTACTAACAGTTATCATTTGATATTTATAAGGAAAATATGTTCCCAGAATTATGTTCAAGTACATTTTCTTTTAACATTTGGAAAATACACAACTTTCTCTCCTAGCTGTGACTATTGCCAGATCTTTTTTGTGTCTTATTATAGGTTAATCTGAAGGTTACTAAAACAAAACAAAAACTAAAAACATTCTACTAAATTTATCTGGGTAGTCTTGGTTTACCCCCCAGTATTTTAAAGTCCTCTATTACCACTGAGTAGAGGAAGCGCTTGCTAATTTCTACAGTCTTGTGCAGTCAACAGATGCTGTGAAAATTACAACTCACCTACGAATAAGGACACTGCACCACACATTGGAGAAATCACCAACTGTGAGGCTTCATCTACTGAAAGTTTCTCGGCAGTGCATTTTATTATGTCTTTAGATTTCTCTTCAACTTCACCCATATTTTTCCTAGAAATAAGATATTACTTAATCTTAACATGAATAGTAGAAGCAAAATACTCAATTTGTAGGCTATTTCCATTTATATTTTTTCTACATCAGACATGTTAGGAGGCATGATTTAATGTGAATGATAAACAGCCATAAACACTTGGGGGGAGCTGAGACAGGAGGGTTGCCATGAGTTCAGGGCTAAACTAAGACCCTGTCTCAAAACAAAACAAAACAAAATGCAATTGTAAAATTTTAGCAAAGTTAATCTATTCACAAACATCCCTAATGAATCAGGCATTATATATAAAGAAGTGAAACATTAGCATGATCACTAAAATATATCCAATCTCATGTGTCCATTTATTTCAGTTCTGTAATTGTTACTCCAATCATGATACAGGTGAGATATCACCACTCTCACCTGCACGAACTTTATACCCAAGCCCCCTACAACCACCTTACTCTTTATCCAAAAAGGAAAGAGGCAGTGTAGAAGTGATGGAGATTCAATAGGAACTAGGTACCTTCCATAACTTGCACCATTCCAGCTAAGTAATAGAGCAAACAGGGAATAAAGTGCACAGCTATTTCAGGTGTCGAGCAAAGTCTTTGGCTGTGCATGTCTCATAAAATTCACCGCACATTATTACATGCTCAGTAAGGGCCACTAGTACATACTTACAGGTTCCTCTCCTCAGGTGCTGGTATTTGGACAGAAGCAAAGTGGCAGAGAAGCAACACAGACAGGGACACCTTATGGATACAAACAAGGTCTGAGACTGAGCTTGGGAGCTGGAGAGAGAGAAAGGAACCCCAGAGGTCTCGCTGAAGAGGTAGTTTTTAAAGCTGAGACTTGAAGGATTAGAAAGATGTGAAGAAATGGGCAAAGAGAGGAACTGGCAAAGTGGAGGCTGTGGAACAAGAAAGAACATGATGCAGAAGCTACCAGGAGGCCGAGGTTCAGACGGCAAAGGAGAACGGGCAGCCTGCAGCTAGACAAGGAGGCAGAGCCTTGTGGGCCCCGAGGAGTACAATCACAAATCCAGGAGGTTTCGTTGGAACTGAAAACTGAAAGAAGGCTCACAGAAGTTAAGGACTCCTTCCAAGTGCTGAAATTCCAATCAAAGGGCCTCGATGAGTCCAATGTTCACTTCCCCATCTCCTTCCAACTACTGAAAAGCACAGCCATTCACGTATCACTGGGGTCCAGGATCGTTCACCTACTGTACACACCACTTGAGCTTCTTTCCTATCACCCCCTTCACCTGTTCTTTCTTGTTGCAGAGCCTTTCAAGCTTTTTTTCTTCAATAAGACACAGGTAACCCAAATACAGTCCATGAGCTGTAAGTCACAGAATTCCTGACATCTGACTATAGAATATCAAAACCTAGCACACTTAGGGGCTGGGGATTTAGCTCAGCGGCAAAAGCGCCTGCCTGGCAAGCGCAAGGTCGTGAGTTCGGTTCCCGGTACCGGAGAAAAACCAAAACAAACAAACAAAAAAAAAAACAAAAAAACCTAGCACACTCAACATACAATGTTGAGCAATCTTTCTGACCTGAGAACTGCTATAGCCAACACACATCCAAAACTTTAACAGCAGTCTATTCCAAACGCTGAAAAATTCCAACTGCTCAAAAACAGCATTTTAGAAACTCCAGAAATCACAATGATGCTACCAAGGCCACAGTATTCAAATAAAATTGAGACCCATATCTAATAAGAGATTCTGTTACTTCCAGGTAGCAGGTATGAGAAAGACCCCTAAGTGTGGACACGGAGGTTAATCTGCCACACGGACTCATTTTTCATTTTGTGAGCCGCTGTTCTCCAGGGAAGGCAGGCTGGTGGAAAGCATGAAAAGCTAATCAGGCATCCTTGACTTGTTTCTTTCTCTAATGCAAACAAGATTTTGCACTTGAGGTGATATTCACTGTTTATTTTAGAGAAAACTCCATCAAAGGTGTTTTTCATTACTAACTTGAGTTTGTAATCAGGGATGACTTAATCTACCTTGTTCTTCAGTTGACAATAAACTTCACTCTATCTCTTTATACTTAAGAGAAGCATGATCCCTTAAGTAGGAAGAATTTTCTTACATATCATCCTACCCAAATGTGGACTAAGTTATCTGGAGTGCTGGAAATACGGCACAGGTCATGAGACCACCTGCAAAACAACTATAATGGACTATAGTAAGGTTTCTTTTCTGGCAAAGTGATCTACTGACATTCTAGCTGTGCAATGTTTCTACATTTCTCTGTATGCAAGACAGCTACTATTTACCATAATACAAGAATGTCATTATGTGAAGCCATTATGTTTGTGAGAAAATACAGCGTCCAATAATATGAATTCAGTCTATTTTCTTTTTTTTTTTTTTTTCTTCTTTTTGAGACAGGGTCTCGCTATGCGGTTCAGGCTGGCCTTGAGCTCACTTTGTAGTCCAGGCTGGTCTCGAACTCGCAATGATCCTCTTGCCTCAGCCTCCCGAGTGCTGGGATTACAAGTGTGCACCACCTCTGCCACTTATTGGCTATGTGACAAAAAGCAACGTTTTAAATTTCTCTGAATTTCAGTTTTCCTACCAGCAATATGTGGCTATTAATACTCCACAGTCTTAATACTATGTCTGACACACATAAAGATTAAATAAACTATGTTAAATAAAAAATTAATATATTAAAAGTAATATTAAAATACTTACAACAGAGTTGATACAGAGATGGTAGGTAGGTATCCCTAATTCTCTCTGCACCAATAAAGAGTTGCTGCATCAGTAAAGAACTGGTGCAGGCAGACTTTCAAAGAACATACAGTAACAGCAAACTATATACAAGTTATCACCTGTACAATCCCTCTCTACAAGACTGGATTGCAAAAACAAATCTCACATACCTACATGGCTGAAAAGCACTATCCTCCACTAATGGGGGGGATAATGGCAATTTCATCTCCTGGCTGAAGCTGGAGGAGTTGATCTCCCAGCTCGACATACTCCTGGCGAACAGCAAATATCACCTGATTTTTAATATCAGCCAACCTGAAGGAGAAAAAGTCTGGTTAGAAATAATAGTGTGTGAAAGACCTCGAAACTCTTCAGCTGCAATTAAAAATATTACATAAATACCGTTGTCTCAAGCATGATCTGCAAAGTTACTGACTCACTTTCTGTGGACAAAGGAAACACCCACCAAAGAACACATTTATTTATTACAGAAATACATGAAACTGCCAACAACTCTTTACTGAATGTTGTGTACATTGGGGAATTAAGCAAACAAAACCAGACTGGAGGCAACATTCAAACCAGGTCAGGAGAAAAGAGAAATTCCCAAATCAGTCTACGGTCTTCTGTGTAAGACTAGCAGCGCACTAACAGCTAGTAAGTTTCCTACAGTACCAGGTGTCTACCTACAGATACATGAAAAGCAAAGCAGTGTGGAGGCAGTGAGGGCTCACTGGACCTTTACAGCGCTTTAGGAGAGAGGAAACCAAGCCAGTATAGTTTCCTTTTGAACATACAGGGTGGAGTCTGTGCCTGCTGGGGCTGGAACCTAGGGCCTCCTGCAAGCTTAAGCCGGAGCTCTGTCCCTGAGCGATCCAAACCTAATTCAAGCCCTTGGGGTTCCAGGTTAAACATTTATACAGATTTCAGTGGCATTATTAATATTTCAAGAACACCCTCAAGTAAGTCACATTTATATTTTGTTCCAAAAAAGTCTCAGTAGCAAAATTACAGTTTCAAGGACCAAGACAAGGACACCGCAAGACTCAAATTCAGCAGCATTTAGGGTTTAACTCATTTTTCTTTTAATTTTAGAAATTTCCATTTTGAGTGTTCTAAAGAAGGATAAAAAAGGAACAAAGCAGATCTTAAGTAGAATTTGTAAAAATTTTACTTAATGGTATAAAAACACAGAGTCTACATTTTCAATAACCTGTAAATTATGAAAATAATTGTAAATTATACAACCATGTCATCTGGGAACATCCCAGTTCATTGTCTTTTTAGTAAACTATCCTTAACCCTCCTCAAGGAATTGTGCATTTCTAAATACCAGAGTTTAAATTTTCAGGAGCAGTTCCAGAAAAATAGAACTAGTAACTCCTATTAAAAAACTATTTTTTCATATTACTTGTTTGCCATATGCATTACACAAATCTTTTAACTACCCAGGATGTCGAGTTTCTATCTCTTTCCAGAGCTGTAACACTTTCAGTTCTTGTGGCACACAAATGGTCTCCGAACGAACTCCTGCTATTTCAGCACTTTTTGCAAAATACAATACTTCAACCTGAAAGGAGAGAAAAAGGCTTTTAATAACTCTCAGTTCATTTCTAACAGTCCGCGGTGAGGGTCCTCAGTTTTCCAAACGCATTACTCTAATCAAAGACAAATTTTATAAATTAGAGAAAATGAAATCCTTAAAAATTTTCAATATATCTACAAGTTCAATTTTTGAAAAAAAAATTTTTTTAAACACAATGCAGGCCAGGCGTGGTGGTGCAGGCCTATAATCCCAGCACTCGGGAAGCTGAGGAAGGAGCACAGTCTCGAGTTCGAGACCTGCCTGGGCTACAAAATGAGCTCAAGGCCAGCCTAAACTGCATAGGGAGACCTTGTCTCAAAAAGACAAAAAAATAAAAAAATTTAAAAAAATAAACACAATACAGACTAATTTCTAACTGTGCCGTCATCCTAATTGTATCTGCTTAGAAAATGTTGTCTATTTCCAACTGACAAGATCATAGTGACTTTTTAAAAGCTTAAGCAATGAACAAAATGTGAGCCTAGAGATGAATTATGCAAACAAAATAAATGACCAAGTCAGCAAATAACGTGTTTTCACAATTGCCAAATGATCTTGGACGCCTGCGTACAGTGACATTGGACCCAGCGGTTACTCAGCATACAAAACCTGACATCTGAAAAAGCAAGTGGACAAACTAGCATTTCCTGCGCAAGCGGCCTGACAACTGAGGGATCCGACCCAGCAAAACGCACCACCTGTCATTCGGTACAACTTACTCTCCACGGAATAGTCACGGGTCTACAGAGAATTTCAGGGTTTGTAAATCCAGAGGTGAAACGCATTTCTTCGCAAGAATTCTTAAGTGCATGTTAAAAATTTTTTAAAAAATTAAATTAAAACTACATCCCCGTCAAAATGAGTATTCGAAAGAGGACCTAAAAAGGTCCGGGCGCCTTCACAAACGAGCCGACCCGGACACCCCGCGGCCCCCGCCGGGGCCCGGACGCCGGGTCAGCGAGAGCCAAGTCCCGGAGCCGAGGCGCCGCCAGGGGAAAGGAGGAAGGTCTCCAGGCCAGGGCCAGGTCTGCGGAGGCCCCAGGCGCCAGACACCTCCAGGAAGGCGAGGCACCCCGGCGAGCTCGCCGGCACGCTCCCTACCCTTACCTGGCAGCTGGGAACCATCCCGCCCGCGACCCCAGGGCCCAGCCACAACCGCAGAGGCGGGGTCGGAGCGAACCAGCGCGCAGGCGCAGACAAACGCTCCCGCCCCGCCCGCGCGCCCTCACGGAGCATGCGCGCAAGTAGCCCCGCCTCGTTCCTGCTCCAGCTCCTGCAACTGGGGAGAGTCCTGCTGGACTGTTGCTGGGAAAGCAGTTTTACTTCCCAGTTCGTCACCGGGTAAAAGCAAACAAGGCAATGGACGCGGAAAGGAATAAAGAGCTGGCCTTGGCTGACCTTCTTCCCAGGAAGGAGGACGACGTGCAGCCGAGTAGAGGCGTCCCTTGCTTTTGGAGGCTTAGCTAATAGTCCTGCAGAAGAGTCCAGGCTTTTCCAGTTTCCCACCTGCAGGCTTCAATGCACGTTTATTTAAACCTCCCGGCTCCAGCGTGTGATCGGTGCGCCTTACGGACTTAGAACCTTGGCCTTATCAGAGCCCCGGAACCGCAGGAGGGGAGGCTCGCCTCGGAGCTCACTGCGGTGCAGAGGCCGGAGTCGTCAGCTTCAGTGGGCACTCGCTGTACCCAGCGTAAACATAGGCGTCCCTGTTGACGTGTGGGGAGAGGAGGGTGCGCGGCGGGGTCACCGAGGAGGGCGCTGCGGGAGCCTCGGCTGCAGCGGAATCCGCTCGATCTGCCCGGGGACTGCGAGGACGCGGGGGCCAGGGGTTTCCCCCGCCCGTGCCAGGACGCAGGGACCGAAGCAGCAGAAGGAGTTCAGAAAGGACAAATAGTTGGCACCCGGGTTGTGCCTCGTGCAAGAAAGGAGCGGGTGGACAGTGAGGCTGGGGACACACACAGAGGAGAAGTCTGCAGGAGGAAAAGTTGACTCACACCCGTACTTGCGCTGATGAAGTTGCTAAACACGAAGGAAGAAAGATTATAATCACACCAGACAGAAAAGAAAAGGGATGACCGTAGCAGCTTTTAGATTCCTCGGGGCCATCCAGTGCCAGGAGATGGTGATGCGTAGAGGCTTGAGGCCAAAAACTAGCCCAAAATGTGTTACACAGCCAAGCATGTTTATAAAGGCCAAAGCCTGAGACGTCTCACCCTGCAAAACTTCATTAAAAATACAATAGTCAAGATCTTTTCTTAAAAATTCCTCTTGGACAAAAAAATTCAATCAGACAGTGATAAAAATAAGTAGGCTCAGTAATAAAGATATTAGTGATAAAAATGAAACACACATTGAGATTTTAATTCATCCGAATTTACAAGTCAATTGTGGGATTCTTGTTATAGAATAAAACGTAAATAAGTTCAATTTTATTAAAAATACATTAATGGAAATTGCTCAAATTGGAACATTGAACATATCCAATTTTCTCAATATTTTTCATATTCTTGTTTATTTTAGAAGGATGTTTTAGGGCCAAGAATAATAATAATGCAATGATTTATACTTTTGTCAGGTTCTCTTTAGTTAAATTCAACTAAATAACCCAGCCAAAAACCTTGGAAAGTCTTCAGCTATTATTTTGGTAATACTGCACTAGTTTATTTGCATTTTCTAACTGTTAGAGGAATCTTCTCAAGTATTCCTTGGTCTTTTGTTCTTTGTGAGGTTTGTGTTCATGTGTTTTATTCATTACACTGTAGATATGAAACAGTTCTTTAAAATATATACTATACTGGGGCTGGAGATTTAGCCCAGCAGTACAGCGCCTGCCTGGCAAACGCAAGGTCTTGAGTTTGATTCCCGGTACCGGAAAAAAAGCAAAACAAAGCAAAACAAACAAACAAACAAACAACAACAACGACAAAAATATATATATACTATACTATCTTAGTTACTTTTCTCTTGTTGACGAGACAAAATACCCAACACCCAAAGTTAAAGGAGGAAATGTTTATTTGGCTCACAGTTTGTAGAGGGTTCAGTCCATAATCGGCTGGCAGAGCAGAGAGGCATCACAGAGGAGAAAACAGTTCATGGCAGGCAGAAGACAGCAAAAGCAAGCGAGGCAGAAGACAAGCCTCTTTCTGTTACTTATACTGTATCTAAGCTACAGGCATTAGGGAATGCCAAACCAGTCAGTGAAATGATTTAGTGATCACCCACCCTTAATCCTGTCTCCATTAATCTCAGCATTGCACCATGAATCAATCACACTCTCTAGGTTCATCCACCTCTGAAAAAGCCCCACCTGACTGCATAAGGCTTTGGGGAAACATCCAAACACAAGCCGTAACTATATATAAATACTGTATGTGTAAATACATCTTATCTGTAATTTATAGGTATGCAAGAAAGATACCAGAAAATTTCCATCCTATTCACAGGTTCTAGTTTTATTTTAATTATAAATTCATTAATTATATAGTGAAAGATCAGAATGGACTATAGCATATTATTTTAGAAATAACAACTTTAGGATCAATATTTGCCGTTCATTTAAACTACTGTGCAGTTAACGTTACCTGTCAAAAGATAAAGAAATATCCAAGGTGCCTAAATCACGGGAGCTCCCTGTATTCATCAGTGGACTAATCCCCTGGCTTTCACAGCTCCACTGGCTGTCAGGGGTTGGGGCCCAGATGAGGAAGGCTGTCCCTGCTGCTGCACCTGCAGGTGTCTCTCCCTGACTTTCTCCTGTCCTCTGTTTCCTGGCTGCCTTTGTTCTCTGACCGCCTTTGCTCCACCAGGCACGAGATTCTGCCTTGTGCACCAGTGGACCGTAGAATAAAATCTCTGAAATTATGAGCCAAACGAAATAGTTCCTCCTTCAAGTTGTCTATGTCAGGCGTTTTTGTTTGTTTGTTTGTTTGTTTGTTTTTTCTCAGCAACAGGAAAGCTATTACCGTTACAATTTATAATAAAAGCATAGTTGGAGCTACTATTTTCTCAGTTATTTTTTACTACAAGGAATTCTGTTCGATTAAAAATAAATAAAAAAGTAAATTGAAGCAAAACCACTTCCATTTTATTTAAAATATTCTGTGACACTAGAAGTACAGGTGCATCTCAGACTTTTACAAAAGGCTCACATCCAAACATCAGAAAGAAGCTGGGTGTGGTAGAGCAGGGCCTGCAATCCCAGCACTCAGGGAGACTGAGGCAGGAAGACACCAAATTGGAGAACAATTTAGCAATTTAGTGAGATGCTGTCTCCCAATTTAAAAAATAATAGTAATAAAATAAAAGGGCTGGGAAATATAGCTCAGTGGGAAGGCCTTGTGTCCAATCCCCACATCCCTGTCCACGCTGGGACAAATCAGAAAGATAACATTGCTTGCAGCAATAAAATTATTAAAAATATTCTTTCCTTTTTCTGTAAAACAATTTCTCAGAAATGCCTGACAGAGTTAGAGTTCACTGTTAGATTTTCTGTCAACTTTTTAACAAATGGGAAAGAGTTTAAGTGTTTATTTTTCCTAACCAATTAAAATTATGTAATTGAATATAGGCCATCATTAATTATATTTTTAATTATATATTTGCTAAAGCTCTGCCTATAAATGAATTGAGCCCATATAAACTTAAATATCTGTAATGATTTCCAAAATCCAATGTATCCATGTACTTCATAGAATTTAAAAATATAAATATTTCAGATCATCTAGTCAAATATTTTACACATATCTTATTTTTATTTCTGTCCAAATAGTACCTGCCATTATTTTCCAGTAATAAATAGCACCCACTCTTGTGTGACCCCATTATCAGAAACTTTTCAGTGACTTTAAGCAAGGAGAGGTTTATAATCGTACACTATGTGTAAAAATATAGGAAGTAGATTATCAAATTTTGGTATGCATCTCTGTCTTTTTAACTGTAACAGAATTTATAAAGAGTAAAACTGTAAAACTATCTCTGAAGAAGTCTGGAGTACATTGTGTGAGTTTTATAGATGCTGAACTGAGGTACTTAAGGGATGTGAGGTGCTATGTAAATTTACCATTAAAAAATAGATGATGTAGTAATTAGTTTTTGAAGAACTGAGGGCTTTATGCCCACCGGGAGGTACGCGTTTTAATGCAGAATTTCAAACACTTTTGTATAGTGATGTAAAGTCATAGAATCTAAGACAGTATTAACAGCTTTTCGTGGAACCTTGCACCTTGTAGTTGTACAAAACGTTTTGGGATCAGCTTTGTAATTGAATGAGATTATTTTAAAATTTCACATCTGTTTTATATAATTTTATCCATTGGTCATTTTAAAAAAAACCCACCATAAATTATATATACTTACTAGTTTATTCAAGACAATTTAGGTCAAAAGTAGTGCTCCCCCATGCAGGTAGTGGTTCCAATTGCAAATCCTTCACCCAACAGTGAATGTAGGTAAGGACAAAGTGCTTTTTCTAATATATTCTCCACTGATCATTTTCCAAAACCAATGGGCAGTCTTTCTGCTTCAGATTAAGAAGAAAACCAGAATTTAACATTTTATTTCTACAAAACCTAAGATATGGAGGAGAAGAGAAGAGGGGAAGGAGGGACATTACGGTCACCAATGCAAAGTGAAGCTCTTTTAAGGAACATGGTGTGGCCTCATTGCCTTTTAAGCATTATTAAGAAGGAAATTTTAGGAAAGCAAACATCTAAAAATCTCACCAACAGAAGTTAGTGAAGCAAAAAACTTCATAGAAAGAGCAGACCTATTCACTTACGGGATAGAGAAGATCTTGGGCAATTCATTGCAGGTGAGGGGAGAGGCTGTGCCCCAAATCCTTGGTGAATAGCCCAGGTAAAGTCCTAGGCTAGAAGGTGCTCTTGGAAGACAATCTTACTTTTCATACACCTTTGAGCTCTTTGGCATTAGAAGTGACTATTGTTCCTCCTTAAAAGCCCAACATATACAAGTAGAACTGCAGATTGAGAGTGATGTGAAACCCAAGCCTATCTCAGGGCTCAAAGGGGATATGGCATTATGAACCATTGTGGACATCAGGTCTCTGTTTACCCACAGTGTACAGGTTGAAATCT